GCCTCCCGCATAAGCAATACTAAATTTCCTACTTGACAGATGCAACTGTCTTTCAGGCTGCAAAGGTCAACAGCAAGCTAGACAAATGGTCGGGAGCTTACTCTGACTCAGGCTGGCTTCGAACTCATGACCTTTCAGTCAGTAGTGATTTTAATACAGCTGACTCCAAACCAGCTGCACCACAACATGTTGGAACTATCAAGATTAGGCATGAGCAAACTTCAGCCCTCCAGATGATTTGGACGTCAACTCCCACAATTTCTAACAGATTCAGGCCCTTTCCTTTTCCCCCTCAGCTGTTTATGCCCCCTCAGCAGCTTGTGAACGTATTGCTCTGAATCTTAGTCTTGAGAGCAGCAATTACAATGTGCGTCAGGTGTTACAGCACTTTCTAGCTTTTGTCTAATTTGCATCAAGGTGCACCCCAATGTGTATCAGAGTCCATGGCATGTTAGGTTTTCCACCACATTGAAATGACACCTATAGATTATAATGCAGCGGTTTTCAACCTTCCTAATGCTGAATCCCTTAATACAATTCCTCATGTTGTGGTGACCCCCACCATAAAATTATTTTTGTTGCTATGACTGTGCAATTGCAGCAAAATAGAAAAAAAATAGAACAAACCACAATAGGCATACACTGGATAGGACAAACATTGGGTAAGATGCAGGGCTATGCAAAAAAATTGTTCATTGAGTTTGCATCAACAAAGTGCCAGCATTGCACAATTGCACCAAAATGTGAAAGCAATTCTTCTATTAATGGTATTTTTTTCATTTGCTTAAACTATTTAGTTACGAAGAGACAATAGGTTAATGTGATAAAATTATCCAACTGGTTGTAGCTGTAACACTTTGTCAAGGTTGAAAAGCAAGACAAAATGCTGGATATATATAAGTCAAATTGGAATAATTTGCATAATTACATACCCAGATTTGAGGATCTAGAATATGGCAATGCTATTATTATTATTATTATTATTATTATTATTATTATTACTTTATTTGTACCCCGCTAGCATCTCCCGAAGGACTCGATGCGGCTTACATAGGCCAAGGCCTCAAAACACAACACAACAATGCAACACCTAAAGCAAAATTAAAAACAGATTAAGCAGTATAAACAACAATGCTATTTCTTACCAGATTGGTTCATTAGATGAGAGCCTTGGTTAATTAGTGATATAAATGAAATCAATAAGAAACATGGACCGTCTGCTTGGCTGTAAAGTTTTTCCTTGATTGTATTTATTAATTATTTATTTATGACATTTATATGGCCCTTCTCACCCTGAAGGGGACTCAGAGTGTGTACACACACACACACACACATGCATACAATATATTATATTATTAGTATAGTACAATATCAGTATTATATATTACTATATTGTACTATCCCATTATATTATATAGATTGTACCATTTCAAATGGCAGGGGAATTGCTGCAGGATGGAATATTCTAAGTATATATTTTAAGGGAGATTACATATTTTTTCTTCTACATGTAAAATTTATGTTTCTAGAGGGAAGTTTCCATTTTAGCCATTTTTTCCTCCTGATACCTGGTACATGCATATAGTTCTGCTTATTTGGGATTTCTTGATCTGAAGATTGCTTTTCTGCCCGTAGGCATTCAAAGCAGCTAATAGTAAAAAAGAAGAAGAAGCTGAAAAACAAATTAAAAATACATAATAAGACCAAAAAAAAAAGAAAAGGCCTAGCATATACTGGCCAGCATAATACAGTAGAAAGCTAATCTTTCCAATAAAGAATAATACGTTTGCCTCTTCAACATGGGAGATCTGGGATATATAGCAAAGGATGCATCTACACTAGGCATGGGTATCCTTTGCTACACTTGCGCCCTCCAGGTGTTTTGGACTTCAACTCCCAAAATTCCTAACAGCCCCGGGACTAAGCTTATTCAGGTGAGGGAGAAAAGGAAAGGGCCTGAGGCTGTTAGGAATTGTGGAAGTCCAAAACACCCCCAGGGCCTAGGTTTGCCCATGCCTGATCTGCACTGTAGAACTGGTGCATTTTGACAGTATTTTAACTGCAATGGCTCAAGGTTATGGAATCATGGGAGTTGCAGTTTTACAAGGTATTTTGTCTTCTCTGTCAAAATTGGTGCCTCTGTGAACCACAAATCCCAGAATTCCATAGCATTGGAAACAAAGTACAGCTTTGTGTCCATTTATTATGCTGGCCAATATACATTTTGGTGCCTCAATGTTAGTCCTGTTTCTGAGTATATTGGACCTGTTGATTGCTAAAATGACACCACTTTCCCCTATGAGCTGTAGTGTTTCAGATACAAAACATATGCCATATATATCAGCCTTTATCTGCTTATCCATAGAAAATCATGATAACTGTTGCACTCTAGCACCGAAACACCTTTTTACCCAGCACCACACCAGAGTCCAGTAATTCTATCTAAAAATGTTTATTAAAGAAAGCAATTAAAAAGGGGGGGGGGGCAATTCCAAAAAGATCAGTAGTACAGAAAATACAAAACTGCAGTAATCCAAAAATGGCAAGGAACATAAAGTCAAGGAAACCAAAATGCACAACAGTATTCCAAACATAAATCCATGAACATGAAAATAGAAACTTTTCCAAGGTAAACTCTCCAAGGAAACAGGCACCAGCAAACACGGGAAATTTGAGAGTACTTGGGCAAGAACTTGACAGCAGAAACAGAACAATCTTCTTTAGCAACGTTGTCTCCTCTGAGGGGCCTAAAACCAAACCACTTAATTTAAGCCCTCTAAGATACCCATGAAATCATGCCGGACACATCTGGTCTTCAGGGTCTTATCTCGGATCCACTGGGAATACCTAGCTTGCCTTTTTTCTAACTCCCTGCGTTCTCATGTCTAATCTCATCCCTCTGGAAACCTCTTAATCTGCCCAAACTCTTTTCTCCAGGGAACTGGAAATTTCACTTTCCCCTAAACAAGCATAGGAATACAAAACATCAGCCTCATCTGCCTGCAATTCTCTTCGAACACTCACGGACTCCTCACTTTGAAACCCATCATTCCCCTCATCTTCTGAACCTTCAGAAAAATGCTCTGATGCTTGCTGAACTACAACAATAACCATATCCAAGAAACTAGAACTGATGCCATCTATTCAATACAATTTTCTGGATCAAGGCTCCAAATAACCTCAGGAGCAGGCCTAAAAACCAAAACAAGAAAAAAAATTGCTTTGTTCGACTGTGTTATTTTAAAGGAACTACTATGTCTCTACTTGTAGCAAAATATATATCTATCGTGATTCAAATGGAAACAGGCTGCTAATTGCACATTATTTCCGGAGTAATTTCCCTCCTTTAAAAATAAATTTTGATTTCCCTTTTTCTAAAAAAAAATTAAGACTGGAGACAGACTTTGGTTTTCCCATTTTCTTTTGAAGTGTTGGTGTGCTTTCGGGGAAATCCCTTTGCAAACGGGCCAGCATTTCTCTTATGAGTAACAGGACACAGATCTCGAAAGTGAAGCATGCTGTCAAGAAAACAAAAGTAATTAATAAGAATGAACACATAAGCAAGCAAAAGTCACAATACATTGCTTTTCTCTTGGGAAGGGAAAGACTTTGGGTACATCTACACCAGGCATGGGCAAACTTGGGCCCTCCAGGTGTTTTGGACTTAACTCCCACAATTCCTAACAGCTTCAGGTCCCTTCCTTTTCCCCCTCAGTTGCTTAAGCACTGAGCTATGGTAGTTAAAGTGATGTCAAAATGCATTAATTCTGTAATGTAGATGCATAGTATTTGCAGATTAATCTCTTGTTCAGGCTGCTCTCATGGGGAGTTCTTTGGTTTTTGTTCCCCTTTCCTGTCAAATAACAAGTCAATTTCTATATTTTGGAGAAACCAAAGGAGAAGTTGGAATCCTCTCAAGATAGCAGTTTGAATAGAATATCTGTCCTCTATGAGTCACAAGAATTTATTAGGGAAAAATGTGCTGAAACAAATACGGATTCTTTCACACTCCCATAACTGGGTTGTTGTAGGTTTTTCGGGCTATATGGCCATGTTCTAGAAGCATGCTCTCCTGACGTTTCGCCTGCATCTATGGCAAAAATTATGGTGAAACATCAGGACAGAATGCTTTTAAAACATGGCCATATTGCCCGAATAAAACTACAACAACCCAGTGATTCCAGCCATGAAAGCCTTCGACAATATACTCCCCTAACTCTTCTGACCATCCTGAATGGTCCTAAACTTTAGTCCTCCAAGTGTTTCAGACTGCCCATAATTTCTGACTACTGGATAAACTTGCTGGGGCTACTGGGAGTTGAAGTACTGGGAAAACCAATGTTTGGGAACCATTGTATCATGTATACAGTGGCACTTAATAGAGCTGGCTCTAATGTTTGGCAAAGTAGGCGAAATACTACTGTGATAGATACTGGAGTATTAGAGCTAAAATTCATCAGCTAGTCTTGTTAGCTTCTGTAGATGGAGCAGATACCCAGAAACATAAAGCAGTGGAAAATTGTCATTCAGATAAAGAATACTACTTCAGCATAGGAGATGGGAGATATACAGCAAAATATATCTTCACCAGGCATGGGCAAACTTCAGCCCTCAAGGTATTTTGGACTTCAACTCCCACAATTCAAGTTTGCCCATGTCTGATCTATACTATTACATCAATGCAGTTTGACACCACTTTAACTACTATGGCTCAGTGCTATGGGATCATGGCACTTGTAGTTTTAGCCTTCTCTGCCAAAGAGCGCTGGTGCCTCAGCAAGATCCTAGGATTTCATCACCAGGGTAATTAAAAAGGTGTCAAACTGCATCAATCCTACAGTGTAGATGCACCCTTACTTGCTTGGTCTCAATGGTGGAAAAGGAAGACCTGTCACAGCAGCTGCTGAAAGCACGGGTGCCCCATAAGAAAGATGTGGGTAACCTCATACCTATCAGTGTGCCAACTGACTAATACACCAATCCTAATCATGTTCTTTCAGGAATGGCTGACCCGCTATGGCTACCTTCCTCAGCCGGACCCCAGGGCAGCCCAACTTCAGTCCAGCGAAGAATTGGCCAATGCTATCAAAACGATGCAAAGGTTCGCAGGGCTGCCTACAACCGGGGAGATGGGTATGTATGGGTCTTAGAGGGAGCAGAAGTTTGGGAGGACCTAAATTATCCTATTCTCACTAAGGGGTGAGAATAGGATAATTTGCTTGGACCTCTGTAGGATCAGACCTCAGTCTTTGGCATCTGACCTGTAAAGTCCCATATAGCTCAGGTGCTCTTTTTTACCCAATTTGGGTCCCCAGATATCATTGAATAACAACTCCCAACCTTTTTATCCACCATGCAGATTGGGGATAATAGGAATTGCAACCTAGCAGCCATTGTGGCTCTGAGATTAGGGAAAGGTTAAAGCACACTTTATTTTTTTTCCCCATATAATTTTTATTGCAAATATATAAAGAATTGGAAGGAGTACAAGAGTGGATATAGATAGAACAGAGGCATTTTTAACATCTTACATCTTCCATTTTCCTTTGCTGTCTAATTTTCTATTATGTTAAAAGAAAGAAAGAAGGAAAGAAAGACGACTTATTTTCTAATTTAAAATAGAATCATAGAATCATAGAATCATAGAATCCTAGAGTTGGAAGAGACCTCATGGGCCATCCAGTCCAACCCCCTGCCAAGAAGCAGGAATATTGCATTCAAATCACCCCTGACAGATGGCCATCCAGCCTCTGTTTAAAAGCTTCCAAAGAAGGAGCCTCCACCACACTCCGGGGCAGAGAGTTCCACTGCTGAGCAACGGCTGTCACAGTCAGGAAGTTCTTCCTCATGTTCAGATGGAATCTCCTTTCTTGTAGTTTGAAGCCATTGTTTCGCGTCCTAATAATAGAATAATAGAAAAGTCAGTGTCCATTGTTTTGAAACAAAGGAGGTAGAAAAGTTGAGATATGGAAAACTAGAGAGCCCGAACTAATGTGTCCTACCCTGTCCCTGCAGTCCTCTTTATAATAAAAAAAAACTATTTTTTTGTCATATCTCTGGTAGATTAACTTTCCAGGATCCCTTGGATATCTTTGGAGATCCTGCTATTCTTGTCCCTTATGTCTCTAATTTTTTTCTTCTCTTGGTATTTCTACATCCCTGCACTACTAATTTTCCCTTGGTTAAATAGAAAACCCAATATTTTCATTTTCTTTTCTTCTTTTAAATAGACAATGATAGAGGGTCATTCTTCTTCAAATTTGGAAGGGTCTGGCGATTGTATGTAAGCCTACTCTGTCCCTCTCTAATATTACAGCATTAGATTTCTTCTTCAAATTTGGGAGGGTCTGGTGATTGTATAAAGCCTGATCAGTTCGTCTATTACATTTTTTTGTAATCCATGAATCTTCTTGTTTCTAGTAATCGCAAATAATGAAAAGCTCTTCTCCACTTGTTTGCTGAATCCAGTCCATTTATATTTAAAGAAAAATGCTTAGGTTCCTCACTCTTGAAATAGTACATAATAAGTAATTCTTCCAAATACATTTGGGCCCCATATTCCCTTGATAGAAATTAGTTTGAACATCCCTACTATATGGCCCATTTACTGAGATGACAAAAGGGAACCAGGTAGGGCTGGGTCGGAATAAAATCCTTGAAGGTCAAGTGCTTTGGTCTTCTCCTTTTCAGACCAGAAGACCTTGGACATGATGAGCAAGCCTCGCTGCTCCCTTCCCGACATCATTGGCACTTCTGAGCTCATGCGGCGCCGGCGCAGGAAAAAGCGCTATGCTCTCAGTGACAGTGTCTGGAAAAAGAAAGATTTGACATGGCAGTAAGCAATGCTCTATCACTCCATCGTTAGTCGTGAAATAGCAGGGTTAGTGGGTTAATCCACAGTTCATTTCCTGATACTCCCATCGCTTTGTAATTATACTTCAAAACTTTTTTGTGTACTTCCTCTCTCTCTCATAATATAATTAAGCCCCTATCTTAAATGATGCTATAATTTATTGCTTCTGTTCATTCGCTTTCCTTTTTTGTTACAAGTATACTTTTTATATTTTATAGTGTACTACATGTCACCATTCATTTATGCCTTGAGTGTGAGTTTTCCATAGGTTTCTAATTGAGCATTGTCGGGATCAGAATACATGGTTACAAAGGCTTTCAGTTCTATGTATTGTCGAAGGCTTTCATGGCCGGAGTCACTGGGTTGTTGTAGGTTTTTTGGGCTGTATGGCCATGTTCTAGAAGCATTTTCTCCTAACGTTTCACTTACATCTCTGGTAGTAATGCTCAGAGGTTGTGAGGTCTGTTGGAAACTAGGAAAAATTGGGTTTATATATCTGTGGAAAGTCCAAGGAGGGAGAAAGACCTCCTGTCTGTTGGAGCTAGGTGTGAATGTTTCAATCGGCCACCTCAATTAGCATTTGATGGCCTTACAGTTTTTAGATATGCTAATCATGGTGGCCAATTGAAACTTTCACACCTAGCTCCAACAGACAGGAGTTCTTTCTCCCCCCTGGACTTCCCACAGAAATATAAACCCAATTTTCCTAGTTCCCAACAGACCTCACAACGTCTGAGGATGTCTGCCACAGACGTAGGTGAAACATCAGGAGAGAATTCTTCTAGAACATGGCCATACAGCCCGAAAAACCTACAACAACCCAACTTTCAGTTCTGATCCAACCATTTCTTATTTTTCTTTTCTCTTGACAGTATCCGTTCCTTCCCCCATTCCTCCTACCTAAGTAGAGATGTTGTCCGGACGCTTATTTACGAGGCTTTCCGGGCCTGGAGCAAGTCCTCAGCACTGACCTTCCAAGAAGTGCCTCCAGACCGAGCGGACATCCTGGTGGATTTCACCCAGTCCTACCATCAAGACAGCTACCCCTTTGATGGTCCTGGTGGTACTCTAGCCCATGCTTTCTTCCCTGGTGAACACCCTATTTCTGGTGACACTCATTTCGATTATGAAGAGACATGGATTTACAACCCGGGGAACACAAAGTCAGGTACTTTCAGAACCACACAGCATGCAGGGACAGTCCAAGATCTACCACCACTTGGGACAAGAAACTGAATTTATTCGCTTTATTGCTCCACTCCTATTTTGTTAAAGGGGGATGTTACAACAGTGGTCCAAGAAATAGAGTAGTAGTGTATCCCAAATTCTAGTCTCATGGTGTTTTGGACTTCATTCCCCAGAATCCTTGATCATTGGCGGGGGTAGCTGAGGTTTCTGAGAATCTCTAAGGTAGCGAATGAGATGGTAACAGAGAAAGAAAGAAACCAAAGTGGTAGTTCCCATGCATTCACGTCCAGAGGAGGAGGAGGAGGACCAGGATGAGGAGAAGGACGAGGAGGAGGAGGATATGGCATTGCTCCCATGCCCCTCACCCATCTGCCAAGGCATAGTTCCTACAGCCTCTCCTCCCCATCCCAATAGTCGTATTTCACTTAATCAGATGGCAATTTTTGGGTTGTTCACTCACAGTGGCAGCAGGATCTACCACCACACAGTTGGAAGAATAGCTAATTGGTGGGATCAACCATGACAGCGTCACCTAGAAAAGATGACATTCTCTCTTTCTTTTGGTCCTAGTCAGTGGCACAGATCTCTTCGCAGTAGCCGTGCATGAGTTTGGCCATGCCTTAGGACTGGCTCACTCTTCTGCCAAGGAGTCCATCATGATCCCGTATTACCAGGGTCCTGTCGGACCAGCCCACTTGTACCAGCTCCCGTTGGATGATGTGATGGGAATTGAACAACTCTATGGTGAGAAGCTCTGTTCAGCCCAAGAAAGCAGCTCTTTTTGTCATTCTGTTCTCCCTTTCTCATTTGTAGCCTCATATTGTCCTTATGTAATATTTTATATAGCAGCCCTTCACCATTAGATGTCTGTGGAGAAGCTGAATATTATGTGCCTTCAAGATGTTGACTCAGATATGAACCTGGCACTGGGACTGTGGCACAGCTGGCTGGGAGTCAGCTGCATTCGATCACTACTGACCAAAAGGTCATGAGTTCGAAGCCAGCCTGGGTCATAGTGAGCTTCCGACCATTGTGTAGCTAATTGTCAACCTTTGCAGCCTCGAAAGACAGTTGCATCTGTCAAGTAGGAAATTAGGTACTTTATGTGGTGAGGCTAATTTAACTAATTTACAATGCCATAAAAATCTCCAGCAAGCATGCAAAAATGAGGAAGTACTCCATCAGTGTCACAAATGGACGGTGAAATGACAGCTCCCCTGGTGGCCAAAATACCCTCATGAAGCTGGAATATTAAACGGCCTCTGTGTGTCTGTCTATATATGTTGTGTGTCTATGACATTGAATGTTTGCTATGTATATGTACATTGTAATCTGCCCTGAGTCTCCTGCGGGGTAAGAAGGGCAGAATATAAATACTGTAAATAAATAAATATCAGGATGGTTACTTAGCAAAGTTTCTTCAGGGAGAGTTTGCCATTGCCATCCTATGAGGATGAAAATGAGACTTACCATGGACATCTAGTTCTCAACCTGTGGGTCCCCAGGTGTTTTGGCCTTCGACCCCCAGAAATTCTAACAGCTGGTAAACTGGCTGGGATTTCTGGGAGTTATAGGCCAAAACACCTGGGGACTCACAGATTGAGATGCACTGATCTAGTGAGTTTCTATAGCCAGGTAAAGATTTGAACCCTGGTTTACCAAATCCATAGACATACACTCAAGCCATCATGTGAAGCCTATATATATGAGTAGAGAGCCTCTTTCTTATTGTTTATTTACTTAATTATGGTAAATATATACTTGAGCAAGTAAAACCCATTTCCATTTTGCCTGTGTGCAGAAAGAAACTCATTTTCCTTATAGCATTCCTCCATACACATAGATAGTTGGAGAAGATGGTGGGTTGGTCGGGTGATGGATTAGTTGGTTTTCTTCTTCCTTGATTTGATTTTTTTGGTTGTAGGGAAGCGCCAGCCGGGCTCCCATCCAGACCAAGAGAGCCCAGGCTTACCAGCCCCCACAGCCCGCCCCATTCCTGAACTACCCCCAAAGAGACCCACTTATGGGTAAGTAACTTTTCTTATTGAATGCTAATCTAGCTAGCTATCTCTTTCCGCTATGGTTGCAACCTGTTCACTAGTCGTCCATTACTGTAGGTATTCAGCCAAGTTCTGATCTCCCCTTGAGCTCTCTCTTCAAAGGTCTCTTCAACTTTGTATTGCTTGACTGCTTTTGCACTTGGGACACTCTCATGTTGATATTTAGCCTTGGCTGGAGTTCACCTACCTGCTTTGGGCTTCATTCCCAAACAAACCATATGCAAACGCCTCTTAATAGTTCTTGAACTCATTCTCCTAAATTATTGTGAGCTTTCTCAGAGAGTGGGGTGAAATTCTGGCAAGATCCAGACTGTGAAAACAAAATGGGTTTGTGTCAGGGTGCTTCAGGAGCAAATAGAAAACCTTCATTATTTTGGGTTGTTGTGAGTTTTCCGGGCTGTATGGCCATGTTCCAGAAGCATTCTCTCCTGACATTTCAGGGATCCTCTGAGGTTGTGAGGTCTGTTGGAAACTAGGAAAATGAGGTTTATATATATCTGTGGAATGTCCAGGAGTGGAGAAAGAACTCTTGTCTGCTTGAGGCAAGTGTGAATGTTGCAATTTGCCACCTTGATTAGCATTTAATGGCCTTGCAGCTTCAAATCTTGGCTGATTGCTGCCTTTGTTTGGAGTTGTTAGGTAGTCCTGATTGATTGTCAGGAATCCCCCTGCTTTTTGGTGTTGTTCTTTTTTTACTGTTTTAATGAATGCTTTACTTATTGCTTTAATTGTTATTATATTGCTGTTTTATATGCAGTGGCATTGAATTGCTGCCAAATGTAAGCCGTCCTGAGTCCCCCTTTGGAGGTTGAGAAGAAACGGGATAGAAATACCGGAAATAAATAAGTAATAAATAAATAAATAACCCGTGTTAACCACTGGAATTTCCCTGTTTTTTGGTTTTTTTAGTGTTGTTCTTTATCTACTGTCCAGATTTTAGCTGCAAGGCTATTTATAGCTAATCAAGGTGGTCAACTGCAACATTCACACTTGCCTCAAACAAAGAGTCCTTTCTCCCACTCTGGACATTCCTCAGATATATAAACTTCACTTGCCTAGTTTCCAACAGACCCCTCAACCACTGAGGATGCCATAGATGTGGGCAAAATGTCAGGAGAAAATGCTTCTGGAACATGGCCATACAGCCCGGAAAACTCACAGCAACCCAGTGATTCTGGCCATGAAAACCTTCGACAACACTTCATTATTTTGTTTGAAATCGTAAAAATAGCAATCCAACTGGGAATAGGACTGGAACCCTGAGGGAAAAAAACCCCAAAAGTCCTAGTCAGAGGTAAAAGCCAACTGCTGCATCTTCTCCTACCTGTGAGTTCTTCCCCTTCAAGAACTTTTTGTCTTCTTGACCATATTGTAGTGGTGGCTGCCGACATATGTCCTGATTTCCATCTGTGAAAAGTGAGACGATATGGCATAGAGAGGGAAAGGAAGTGATGTAAAAACCATGAAAAAAAAGCTGAATTTAACTAACTGATTGAAAACAACATGAGCCATATCTTGGGCTCTAGGTTTCTAGTGGACAGAAACAATTTTCTCTCTTCAGGCCACGGCTGCCCTCACCAGATCGTTGTAATACCAATTTTGATGCCATCTCTAACATCCGGGGAGAAGTTTTCTTCTTCAAAAGTAAGAAAAGTGATTTGTGTTTTGAGTTTTAGTTTGGGGGAGATCAGCTGGAGTGATTGCTGTTGCTGTTTAGTATAGTGGTTCCCAACCTGTGGTCCATGGATCACCAGTGGTTTGCAAGAATGAAAATATGGTCCGGGGCCTCACCACTACTACACCGTTGCCTTGAAACCACGTGGCAACAAGAGCAACTGGTCTCACAAAAACCTCTTATAGAGCCGAGGCAACAGGGATGTGGGGAGGGGAGAGGCTGACTACCCACGAAAGATTACTACTACCACATCAGCTCTAGATTATTAAGTATGATTTTCTGTGGGCGAGTGGATGTCGACTATTGGATGGCATATATTCTGTATCAGAAACTTGAACTGATGTGGTCTATCCAATGCAATTTTCTGAATCAACACCACAAAGAACCAAACCAAATCTAAAGTTGACCAAAAACTGATTCATAACCTTTTGGTACTAATGTTGGAGAGTGGTCACCGGCTAAAGTGGTCCCTGGTCATAAAAGGTTGGGAACCACTGTTTTGGTGTATTGAGTAATGTTTACTAATTATTCTAAAGCATTATTATGGGGTCATTTGTTGTCACTGCAGAGCATTTTTGTAATTTTTACAAGTGTATATTATAACGTATACATTTTTTTGTGTTTCAGGAGCGACTTGCAAAACTGCAAGTCGCTTCTGGTGTGAGAGAATTGGCTGTCTGCAAGGATGTTGCCCAGGGGACCCCCGGATGTTTGTTTTACCATCCTTCTCTCATGTCCCTGCATGGGGAGCTGGAGCTGTCAGAGGGAGCTCAACCCACTCTCCCTGGATTCGAACCGCTGACCTATCGGTCAGCAGTCCTGCCAGCAAAAGGATTTAACCCATTGTACCACATATACACAATATATAAAAACACTTTTCAGGGAGGATATTTTTTGGAATGTAGGGAAGTGAAAGAGTGGATAGCGAGTCCACGGATAAAGAAATTGTGCTGTAGATATTTTTTTTCTCGTGTCAGAAGCAACTTGAGAAACTGCAAGTCACTTCTGGTGTGAGAGAATTGGCCGTCTGCAAAGACGTTGCCCAGGGGACACCTGGATGTTTTGATGTTTTATCATCCATGTGGGAGGCTTCTCTCATGTCCCTGCATGGGGAGCTGAAGCTGAAGCTGATAGAGGGAGCTCATCCATGCTCTCTCCAGATTCAAACCTGTGACCTGTCGGTCTTCAGTCCTGCCGGCACAAGGGTTTAAACCACTGCACCACCGGGGACTGTAGATGAAGTAGTGTATTGATATTGATCACTAATTTTCAATGCTACATGTAATTTGGGCCTGAGGAACCCAGTCAAGACATAAACATGAGCCAACAATGTCATGTAGCGGCAAAAAAGCCAATAGGATGTTGGCCTGCATAAATAAGATTATAGTGTCTAGATCCAGGGAAGTCATGCTACTACTCTATTCTGCCTTGGTCAGACCACATCTCGAATACTGTGCCCAATTCTCGGCACCGCAATAGAAGGGAGATGTTGACAAGCTGCAATGTATCCAGAGGAGTGTGACTAAAATGATCAAGTCTGGAAAACAAGCCCTATGAGGAGCTGGGCATGTTTACACTTCAGAAGAGAAGGCTGAGAGGAGATGATGGCCATGTATAAAAATGTGAGGTGAAGTCATAGGGAGGAGGGAGCAAGCTTGTTTTCTGCTTCCCCGGAAACTAGGACACAGAACAATGGCTTCAAACTACAGGAAAGGAGATTCCATCTGAATATGAGGAAGAACTTCCTGACTGTGAGAGCTGTTCAGCAGTGGAACTCTCTGCCCCAGAGTGTGGTGGAGGCTCCTTTGGAGGCTTTTAAGTAGAGGCTGGGTGGCCATCTGTCGGGGGTGCTTTGAATGCAATTTTCCTGCTTCTTGGCAATCTATGATGTATTGAAACTGTAGGCTCAGGAGTGGTGAGGACTGGTTCTGGTGTGTTGTTTTTGAGCTAATGAAGAGGAGCACATTAACTCCTTTGCAGATAAACATTTCTGGCGGATGCAACCAAGCAACCAACTGGTTTCCCTGGAACCAGCGCAAATCCTCCGCTTCTGGATCGGATTGCCCAAGGACTTCCAGGGCATCGATACCGTGTACGAACGTGCCAACGACAGCCAAATTGTGTTCTTCATTGGTGAGTTTGGCTAGCTGGCTGGCAGTGGGAAATAAGGCTTTCTGTCTCTGTGGAAAATGAGTGCAATGGAGTATTTTAAAGGTGCCAGATGGACTTTTGGTGTCCAAGAGAAGAACCCAAGGGCTGTGTGTGGAGTTGGGCTTCCTGTCTTCTTCCAAAACATAAGAATTCCACAAATTGTTAATCTTAAAACTCACCTCCAATGGCAAAAAAGTGATGTCTGCAATGTAATAGTGAGTTGCCTCCGGGCTGATATGGGCAGGATAGAAATAATGTAAATAAATAGATAAATAATAGTGCCCCATCGATGCCATGTGTACAACTGCATGACATCAGACATGATGCTACATGAAAAGAGATGTTTCAGTCTCTTAGATGGCGTGTACATGTGTGCAAATGCATAGCACACATGTGCACACTATCTAAGAGACTGAAACATCTCTTTTCAAGTAGTGTATTGTTTGATTGACATGGAGCAAAATATTATCGTTTCATTATATTGTTTTGAAAATCCGATTTTCTAATACATGATTATTACATCAGGTGCTTCTTAGCAACGAGCAACTTAAAAAGTTCTTTTTTTCTCCCACCCTGGACCTTCCACAGATATATAAACTTCCCTTGTCCTAATTTTCAATATACCTCACAACCTCTGAGGATGCCTGTCATAGATGTGGAAAATGTCAGGAGAAAATGCTTCTGGAATATGGCCATACAGCCTGGAAAACTGACAGCAATCCAACTTAAAATCAGTTGTGGGCTGAATCCAGATTTTAACTATTTTTGGAGTAAATTCATTGAAATCAGGGTAACTTCAAATGGTTACCATGACTGACCAACAAGTATGGGCTAGCTATTTCTAAATCTGGATTCAACCCAAGATTGGGTTCACACACACACTATGTTTTGTTACCTAGTCACAAATCTCAGTTCAAGGCTATGAGCTAGTTTATGAACTCTGATGCATTTTAGTGCTGGGTTATTATTACATCTTGATAAAGAACTAGGTTTTGCTCATGATTTATTTCTTCAGTTATCCATAGTTGACAAATGGGATTGACAAGAAACAAAAATCAAATTCTGGATGGTTGGATTATCTGTGGGTTAATTCATAAACATTGGTTACATATGAATCCTGCCTGCTAGGTTCATATTTCATAGAACGATGAGTTTATTAGCTATTGAAGTGACAGGGTTCAATATAGTTTCCCAGCAAGGTCCTTAATATACACCTGTAACAGTTTCTCTTTAGTCAAAAGAAGAGAATTTGTGCCAAAGGCATCTGAGTTGGAATGAACAGTAGATGTTGGTATGAAATATAATGATTGGAGAGTAGGTTGTTGGAGCATGTAAAAATCAGTTAACTGAAAAATGCAAATCACAAAGCTGATTAGTTGGGCTATGCCCAAGAAGCTAGCTGAGCCTGGAGTTTTGGCAACAGTTACATGTTTAGGTTTTCTGTGCAGGAGCTTACCAAGACAGTTTTGTATTTTTGCTTCGGGGCTGCTGGAAGATCTTTCACATGGACGTCTAAGAACAATTTGAATCTCTCTCAAAGGACATTGTGTGAGTCAGTGCAACTGTTCACATAACTGTATATATGTTGCTCTGCATAACAAAGAGTAAACACCTTATTCTTTACTGATCATCTGCGTGGTATATCTTTTCTCTAGCAAGACAGTGTGTGGATTAGTAAATACCTGAACTATGCATGATTTTCATTCCACCTCCGAGGTTACAGGTTGTTTGCACTTTACTGAAGTTGCTTTGATAATCCCATTAGGATGCCTCATAGTTATGCACTTCTCACCCCCTCTTTTTCTCCTTTGTAGGGTCCCACTACTGGGTTTTCACAGATACCAGGGTCAACCCCGGATACCCCCGCTCCACCTCGGATCTTGGCCTCCCTCCTGGCACTATCATTGGTGCTGCGTTTGTGTGGCCCCACAATGGGAAGACCTACCTCCTAGAAAAGGATCGATACTGGCGCTACGATGACCAATTGGGACACGTGGAACCAGGGTACCCTAAACCTGTCACCCTCTGGAAAGGGGTGCCTACGGATCTGGATGACGTCACGCGATGGAACGATGGTAGGGAGGGGCTGAAGCGTATTTGTTGGCAGAGAGTTTTGCACAAGCCTGATAAGACCTTGGAATACAGTTTCACGAAAATTTCAGAACTTGATGAAATCTTTAATCTGAGATTGAATGCAATGAAAACAACTCTTCCTATCTAAGGGGCAAAAATTAGATCAAAAATATAGTATTGCTCAATTCAGGCTTCTTTAGAGAAAAGTGTCCATGAAGTTCATTTTGAGGAATCCACCAGGGATTCTGTAAACAATTTTATAAATGGAAAAGGCCCCTACAAGAGAGCCAGCATTGAAAAGTGTTGGACTAGGACTGTGGGAGACAAGGGTTCAAATTCCCAATCAGTTTTCAAAATTGACAGGGTTTTTTATTGTGTTTGTGGTGTGAGAGAATTGGCCGTCTGCAGAGATGCTGTCCAGGGGATGCCTGGATGTGTTACCATCCCGTGGGAGGATTCTCTCACATCCCTGCATGGGAAGCTGGAGCTGACAGATGGGAGCTCACCCTGTCTCGCAGATTTGAACCGCTGACTTTCAGGTCAGCAGTTCAGCTAATACAAGGGTTTAACCCAGTGGTTCTCAACCTGGGGTCCCCAGATGTTTTTAGCCTTCAATTCCCAGAAATCCTAACAGCTGGTAAACTGGCTGGGATTTCTAGGAGTTGTAGGCCAAAAACATCTGGGGACCCCAGGTTGAGAACCACTGGGTTAACCCATTGTGCCACTGTGACTCCAATTGACTGGGTGACCTTGATCAAGACACAGCCAGCGAGTATCAGGGAAAGGCAAACGCAAACCAATTGTGCTGCGAAATAACTTGGCGTCACATTAAACCAGTCAACTTGAAATCACATAACATCTGAGGGTCCTGCAGGTGTTAACTGCCGTCATTTGCAGTTCTGTTCATATCAAGGCGGATTGAATTGGGCCTCTCCAAGGTGATATGGCTCCTCCAACTGAACCCAGATTGTATTCATTGCTTTTCCACCTTGCCATGTAACTGCCTATGATTTGCTTTCAACATAGAATCCAGACCAACCCCCTGCCCTACAGGAACACCCAATCACAGAACTCCTGACAGATGACAATCCAGCCTCTGATTAAATATGTCCATAGGAGGAAACTCCATACACTCCAAGGCAGCATATTCTACACCTAAACGGCTCTTAGAGTCAGGAAGTTCTTCCTAATGTTGGGTTGTTGTAGGTTTTGTCGGGCTATATGGCCATGTTCTAGAGTAGGGGTCCTCAAACTAAGGCCTGGGGGCCGGATATGGCCCTCCAAAGTAATTTACCCCGCCCTCGCTCAGGATCAACCTAAGTCTGCAACAACTTGAAAGCACACAACAACAACAACGACAACAACAGTCCTATCTCATCAGCCAAAAGCAGGCCCACACTTCCCATTGAAATACTAATAAGTTTATAATTGTTAAAAAATTTTCTTCATTTTAATTATTGTATTGTTTTTAAGTGGTTTTTTTTTTTTTGCACTACAAATAGCCTCTGAGGATGCTTGTCATAGATGCAGATGAAACGTCAGGAGAGAATGCCTCGAGAACATGGCCATACAGCCCGAAAAAACTTACAACAACCCAGTGATTCCAGCCATGAAAGCCTTCGACAATAGAAATAAGATGTGTGCATAGGAATTCATTCATGCTTTTTTCAAATTATAATCAGGCCCTCCCAACAGTTTGAGGGGCTGTAACCTGGCCCTCTGTTTAAAAAGTTTGAGGATCCCTGTTCTAGAGGCATTTCCTGACATTTCGCTTGCATCTATGGCAAGCATCCTCAGAGGTAGTGAGGTCTGTTGGAACTAGGAAAAGGGGTTTATATATCTGTGGAATGACCAGGGTGGGACAAAGGACTCTTGTCTGCTGGAGCTAGGTGTGAATATTTCAGCTGACCACATTGATTAGCATTTGATGGCCTGGCAGTGCCTGGGGCAATCTTTTGTTGAGGTCTGTTGAAACTAGGAAAAAGGGTTTATAGGATGCTGAGGATGCTTGCCATAGATGCAGGCGAAACGTCAGGAGAGAATGCCTCTAGAACATGGCCATATAGCCCGAAAAAACCTACAACAACCCAGTGATTCCAGCCATGAAAGCCTTAGACGATACATCTTCCTAATATTCTTCTTGCTTGTAATATCCGGTGTTCTTTTCTCTTGCAGGCAATACCTATTTCTTCAAAGATGCCCATTACTGGCTCTTCAGGGGTGGCAGCGTGGAGTCAGATACCACTCTCCCGCGCTCCACTGCCCATGAGTTGTTGCACTGCAGTGTTCCCAACGCTTCCTCCCCTCCAGCTCCGAGGCACGGAGAAGGGGGAATGTGTCTCTGTGGGGGGGCTTCCCACAAAACAGCACCCCTCTTAGCTTGCATCATCATTTTTCTGTGGGCCGTATGCTGACCCTTGACCAGTGACAAAACAGCGCACTTTACATTGCCAAAGGAAGAGACTGATAGGCGGAGAAAGACAGCCGTCTCAGGAACAGCCTCTGAGTAACTGCTTTCCCATTGATATGGTTCCTCTTACAACTCTATGGTGCTCTTAATCTCGCCTTCCAATCACTTTTTGCGCCTTCTCTCATCTAGTTTTGTGATTAGTTTTCTAACAAACCATGGAACTAAAAAGGTACTGGTTCTTTAGTTTGCCTAAAGCAATGTTTCTCAACCTTCCGAATGCCGTGACCACTTAATACAGTTCAACATGTTGTGGTGACCCTCAACCGTAACATTATTTTCGTTGCTACTTCATAACTCTCATTCTGCTACTGTTATGAATCATAATGTAAATATATGATAGACAGGATGTATTTTTCTTCACTGGACCAAAATTGGCACAAATACCCGATATGCCCAAATTTGAATACAGGTGCGGTTGGGTGGATTGATTTTGTCATTTAGGAGTTGCTGGGATTTATAGTTCACCTACAATCAAAGAGCATTCTGAACTCCAACAACGATGGAATTGGGTCAAACCCAGAACTCCCACGACCAACAGAAACTACAAGAAGGGTTTGGTGGGTATTAACCTTTCGTTTTGGAGTTGTAGTACACCTCCATCCAGAGAGCACTGTGGACTCAAATAATAATGAATCTGGACCAAGCTTGGCATGAATACTCAATATGCCCAAAAGTGAACACTGGTGGAGTTTGTGGAAAATAGATCTTGACATTTGGGAGTTGTAGTTGCTGTGATTCATAGTTCACCTACAATCAAACAGCTCCTTGAACCCCACCGACAATAGAATTGGGCCAACCTTCCCACACAGAACTCCCATGACCAACATAAAACACTGTGTTTTCTGATGGTCTTTGGCGACCCCTCTGACACCCCCTTGCAACCCCCCCAGGGGTCCCGACCCCCAGTTTGAGAAATGCTGGCCTAAAGTGTGTGGCAAGAGTGTGATTTCTCTCAAGGAGGAAGGAAACGTACTCTTCACATGCTCAAAAGCCTCTCTTTGTATTCATTTACACGCAAGGAGGCTGTTTTTATCAATTCACATACGCACAAAGCTCTGCTCTGCTCTCCCCATCCCAAATTCTGTGTTTAGCATTAGTGGTCCCAGCTGATCATTATCTCCCCCCCCCCCTAGCTCATTCGGAGGTCTGACAAGGGCTTAAGCCCACACTTGAGTATTAATGAAGAGGAAGATGATACCGCTAGGTCTAGTATCCCATCCTGATGCACATCCCACGGGAACTTTCTGCACGAAGTCTGGGATAGAAACAGGACACTTGGTATTATATGTTTGTGGACCAAAAAGGCTGCTGTGAGTTTTCTGGGCTGTACGGCCATGTTCCAGAAGCATTCTCTCCTGACATTTCACCCACATCTATGGCAGGCATCCTCAGAGGTTGTGAAGTCTGTTGGAAACTAGGCAAATGAGGTTTATATATCTGTGGAATGATGTCCAGATGGGAGAAAGAACTCTTGTCTGCTTGCGGGAAGTGTGAATGTTGCAACTGGCCACCTTGATTAGCATTTAATGGGCTCGTAATTTCAAAGCTTGGCTAGTTGTTGCCTGAGAGAATTCTTTGTTGGAAGGTGTTAGCTGGCCCAGATTGATTTTTGCCTGGAATTCCCCTACTTTTTGAGTGTTGCTGTCTATTTACTGTCCTGATTTTAGAGGTTTTTTTTAAATACCGGTAGCCAGATTTTGTTCATTTTCATGGTTTCCTCCTTTCTGTTGAAATTGTCCACATGCTTGTGGATTTCAATGGCTTCTCTGTGTAGTTTGACATGGTGGTTGTTAGAGTGGTTCAGCATTTCTGTGTTCTCAAATATTATGATATGTCCAGGTTGATTCATCAGGTGCTCTGCTATGGCTGACTTCTTGGGTTGAATCAGTCTACAGTGCCTTTCATGGCCCTTGATTTGTGTCTGGGCAATGCTGCAGCGTTTGGTGGTCCCTATGTAAACTTGTCCACAGCTGCATGGTATACGGTAGACTCCTGCAGAAGTAAGAAGATCCTTTTTGTCCTTTGCTGATTGTAGCATTTGTTGGATTTTCTTAGCGGATCTGTAGATAGTTTGTAGGTTGTGTTTCTTCATCAGCTTCCTTATGTGGTCAGTGGTTCCCTTGATGTAGCATGAAAACACTTTTCCTGTGGGTGGATGTTTGTCTTTACTCTTGTGGCTTGTTCTTGGCCTTGCAGCTCTTCTGATGTCTGTGTTGGAGTATCCAACAACTGGGACACACAGTGTACAAAAAAGTACACACATGGATAGATACCTACATAAAAACTCCAATCATTACTCAAATTAAAAAAGAAGCACAATTAAAGCTTTGGCAGACCGTGGAAAAAGAATCTGCAACCCCTCCTCCTCCAAGGTGAACTGAACCACGTAAAATGGGCTCTACAGGCCAATGGAGACTCCAACACAGACTTCAGAAGAGAATGCTTCTGAAATATGGCCATAAGGTAAAGGTAAAGGTTTTCCTCTGACATTAAGTCCAGTTGTGTCCAACTCAACTCCGGGGGTTGGTGCTCATCTCCATTTCTAAGCCAAAGAGCTGGTGTTGTCCGTAAACACCTCTAAGGTCATGTGGCCAGCATGACTTCATGGAGCACTGTTATCTTCCCACTGGAGCAGTATCTATTGATCTACTCACATTTGCGTGTTTTTGAACTGCTAGGTTGGCAGAAGCTGGGGCTAACAGCAGGAGCTCACACTGCTCCCTGGATTCAAACCTGCAACCTTTTGGTCAGCAAGTTCAGCAGCTCCTTCATGGCCATACAGCCCAGAAAACTCACAGCAACCCAGTGATTCCAGCCATGAAAGCCTTCGACAACACAAGAAGGCTGTGCTTGTGGGTGAAATTTGCCTATCCTTCTGCAACTGAAATCATATCTGTCTAAAAAAGAGCGGGGCATTAGATGCATTAAGGAACTGTAGCTGCACAATATGTATTAGAAAATATTCAGCTGTCTCTCAGAACTGCCCCCCAGAAGAAATTAGGGTGATGGTTTAACAATGGTCATTTGAAAGGGAGAAGCCAGGGAATGGACAGGATGCAAATACGATGTGCATTGCCTTCTGTTTTTATAATAAAATCCCAATGGAAACAGCTCTACCCATCTTGTGCTTTTGTCTCGTTCTCCTAGTATTGAGATTATACTGTCAGGAGGTGAGATCATGCTCAGAACTATGCCCTTCAACTATAGCTTCTTTACCTCCAGCCCTATTGAAATATTGTGTAGGGCAGTGTTTCTCAACCTTCCTAATGCCGCAAACCCTTAATACATGTCCTCATGTTGTGGTGACCCCCAACCATAAAATTCTTGTCATTGCTACTTCATTGCAACTTTGCTACCGTTATGAATCGTCATGTAAATATCTGATATGCAGGATATATTTTCATTCATTGGACCAAATACCTGATATGCCCAAATTTGAATGCTGATGAGGTTGGGGGAGGGGGTTGATTTTCTCATTTGGGACTTGTAGTTGCTGGGATTTATAGTTCATCTACAATCAAAGAGCATTCTGAACTCCACCAACAATGATATTGAACCAAACTTGGCACACAGAACTTCCATGACCAGCAGAAAATACTGGAAGGTTTCAGCTGCGCATTGACCTTGAGTTTTGGAGTTGTAGTTCACCTATATCCAGAGAGCACTGTGGACTCAAACAATGATAGATCTGGACCAAACTTGGCACAAATACTCAATATGCCCAAATGTGAACACTGGTGGAATTTGGGGAAAATAGACCTTGACATTTGGGAGTTGTAGTTGCTGGGATTTATAGTTCACCTACAATCAAAGAGCATTCTGAACCCTACCAACGATAGAATTGGGCCAAACTTCCCACCCAAAAAACCCACCATGACCTGAAGGGACTCTTTGGTGCGAGCCTCCCTCCAGCCTCGCATGCTCTCCCTAGCCCATGCATGCACCATGCTGCCATGCGCCGAGCACACTGCTCTCCCCTCCCCTGCATGAAGTCTCAGAAACAGCCCTCCCCTTGGCTGAAAAGTTGGCTGAGAGGCTGACCAATCACAGCAGGTGGGCAGAATCGCCGTCTGTTTCCAAAAATGAAGAGGAGGACACGCGGAGAGATCTTTATCCTTCTCTGTCAAAGGGGTTCCTAAGACCATCAGAAATATATGTTTTCTGAAGGTCTTTGGTGACCCTTCTGAAACCCCTTCACGACCCCTCCAGGTGGAGAAACGCTGGTGTAGGGGCATATAAAATCCCTGCTGCCATGGCCCTCAACAACTAGACTCCATAGGAGACCCACAGCATATAGGACAATATCTTGCTTGAATAAGTCTTATGGGGTCATCCAAATCCAGGTTATTCTTAATGTATATCAAGAGGAGAATTGAACTATACATTCCAAGTGGACTCCCAAACACTTTTAAGGAAAAATAGGGCTTCTTCCCCTGGGAAAAATCCTGAATGCAGTGGAAAACTTGTACTGTAAAGGCATTGATTTTTAATTATTTTTATCCTGGCCTACCTTTCCAGAGCTAAATACAGCATGTGAGGTACACCCACCCTTATTTCACAACAACCTGCCTAAATAGGTTAGGCACAAGCCGAGGAAATTGCCAAACTATGGACTGTATCCCATGCCATGACAAAGAATTAGCCTTTGACATTGTTTTTTCCGTTTCAGGAGAGACTTGAAAAACCGCAAGTCACTTCTGGTGTGAAAGAATTGGCCATCTGCAAAGACGTTGCCCAGGGGATGCCCAGATGTTTTTGTTTTTTAACTACCTTTGTGAGAGGCATCTCTCATGTCCTCGCATAAGGAAGCTGGAGCTGCCAGAGGAAGCTCATACGCACCCTACCCAGATTCCAACTTTGGCAGTCTGCAAGGATGTTGCCCAAGGGATGCCTGGATGTTTTGGATGTTTTACTATCTTTGTGAGAGGCTTCTCTCATGTCCTCGCATTGGGAGCTGGAGCTGACAGAGGGAGCTCATCCGCACTCTATCTGGATTCCAACCTTGGCAGTCTGCAAGGATGCTGCTCAGGGGATGGCCGGGTGATTTGGATGTTTTACTATCTTCGTGGGAGGCTTCTCTCATGTCCTTGCATGGGGAGCTGGAGCTTACAAAGGGAGCTCATCCCATGATTGCTTAGCCTTGAGCCATGGAAATTAAAGTTGTTTCAAACTGTATTAATTCTACAGTGTAGACAAGGTATGGGCAAACTTGGGCCCTCTAGGTGTTTTGGACTCCAACTCCCACAATTCCTAACACCCTCAGGCCCCTTCCTTTTCCCTCTCAGCCGCTTAAGTAGCTAGGGGGAAAAGGAAGGGGCCTGAGGCTGTTAGGAATTGTGTGAGTTGAAGTCCAAAACACCTGGAGGGCCCAAGCTTGCCCATGCCTGGTGTAGACACATTCTAGGTCTACTTCCTCAGTACTTCCAGCTCTCTACTTCCAGCTCTCCCTAATTAAATTGCTGCACCACACCGTTTGTTAAGCTCATTTCTTAATATATTGAATCATTTAGTAAACAGGAAGGAAAAGTGGGTTTCCCTGAAATTCTATGAAATCCACACCCTGAAATCCAGCCATTTGGAGGAGGTTTTGCAAATTACAGGAAGATGTCAACGGAAGACTGAATCACACCCCTTTAATTTCAAGGGTACATGTTGCTAAAGTCAGGCGATGGCTCAACTTCCTCTGTTGGGCTCCACTAGAACATTTAAGAACAGAGAGATCAGTCCATTATCTCTTGCTCTTGTCCAAATCCCATCCTCATCATTCAGAGCAGCTGCTGCCCCAGGAGAAATCAATATCTGCCAATCGCCACCCACGCGTCCCGTTTATCAATTAGCTAAAAGGCAAATAGGAAGCCTGACATCCAGCCTCCATTACGGATGGGCAGCTTTACATGATGCACAGGTCATATAAAATTATTTTGGATTTTTCTTGAATTAAGAAATCTGCCTATTGCTTAAAGCAAAAGGGTTGGCTCCAGATTTGGGCAGATAGTATTTTGGGCAATTTAACATAGGAGGACTGTGTTGGAGCGTGCAAGGAATCTGTGAGTGTGTGTGTGTGTCAACTGTAAAATAAAATGCATGAAGCTGATTGATCGGGCAATGCCTGGGGTGGTAGCTGAGCCTGGGACTTTTGCATACTGTTACATTTTTGTTCAGGCTCGAGCTATGCAAGTGCAGGGAGAGAGAGTCTGAAGAGAGAAGCAGAGAGAGACAGAGTTTTTGGAGTGTACTCTCGCTTCATGAGCTGCTGAAGGAGTTTATCCACATGGAAAGAAAGACCATTTTTAAATCCCTCATAAAAGGACATAATGTGAGTTGGTACAACTGATCACATTGTACATATATTGTTCTGAACTAAAGGCCTCATCACACTAGAGAGAAAAAAATCCACTTAAAATCCATTTTCTGCTTCCTGCAGAATTCTGGGGTTTGTAGTTTAGGGAAGAGCCTTTAACAGCCTCACTAAACTACAAACCCCAGAATTCTGCCGGAGGCAGAAACCAGATTTTAAGTGGATTTATTTCTCTAGTGTGATGAAACTACTTTATTCTTTACTGTTTACCTGCATGGTATATTTTCTTTCTCTGGCAAGGCAGTGTGTGGGTTGATCAAATGTGAACTACACATGGTTGATTTTACATTACGTCAGAGACTGTGCCATGACAACCTATATGGTGAAGCAACTAGAAGTAAATGCACAAGCAGGGTTTTCTTTTAATGTCTCTCTACTATTTTGTCATCTCATGAGCAGGGCATTTTTCACATGTAGAAGCGCTCCCCGTATTTCCTCGTAGAAGTATTTCCATTCAAAAGTTGTAGACTGGCATGACTATTCAACCTCTTTTTCCTGCCTGCATAAATGAATTCTTATTGGGTTGTTGTACTAGTGGGCTATGGCTTTCCAAATTCAAAAACATACATGGCTATTACAATAAATAGTTTTGTTCTGGTTCCTAGCCTCTTCTTCTTAACCTGCTCCCATTCCCTAGTCCTTCCTCAAATAGTCCTGTCTCTCAATTTCCGTTCCAGAAAAATCAGAAATCGCGACTCTCAGGCCAATGCCAAATTAGGAGCTACTTGAAGGTGGAGGAGCCTCTTCACTTGGGGCAACTGAGGTCATTGCGGTTTCATCCACCTTGGGAATGCGCTTCCGTTTAAAGAATCCAACCTGGGAAGAAAAAGGAAGGAGAAATATGTAGTAATACCCATAAAGGAATCAATGGGTCATTTGTCAGGCACTGTTGGAAATAGCAACCTTCTCAAGCCTCCACTAGTTCTTTATTATGTATATAATTGCTTACTGCATTATATGTGTGTGTTGGTATGCAATTTTATCTAACCTCTTTGTTGTGAGAGGGGCTACTGACCATGTGATCAGGTTCAGGACCTGAGACTCCATTTTAGACCAGTGTTTGCTTTGAGAAGACATGTAGAGAAGTATGTGTTTGCTTTAGACTTCATTAGAAGCAGTGAGTTCAGTTTAGACTTCAATGCAGGAAGAGTATGCTATACAGAAGCATACTGATTCTAAGGAAGATGCCCTGTGTTACTTACACAGAGAAACTACTTAAATCCGATTGTAACTGGATTCATAAGCAAAGTACCTGTATTATGTATACATAAAGTTTTGTGAGTAAACCAACTCTGTTACCTTTAAATAAGACTGTTTGTTTTGGCTCTTGACAGCATGATTTAAAGGCAAATATATTTTAAAGGAGAGTAGATGTTTTTGGGCAACTTCAAAGGAACACTACTGAAACTGCTGAATATATGTTTTTGTGCATTGGCATGTCTTTGTCCCTGACAGTTCAAAGACATATCTAGGTACATCAGTTTAACAGCGGAGAGACCTAGCTGCCTTGCATAAATGCCGGCTTTTTTTTTAAGTGTTAGGAGCGACTTGAGAAACTGCAAGTTGCTTCTGGTGTGAGAGAATTGGCTATCTGCAAGGATGTTGCCCAGGGGATGGGCATTTATTTATTTATTTATTTATTTATTTATTTATTTACTTTATTTGTATACCGCTGTTCTCAGCCCTTAGGCGACTCTCAGGCCACAACAAGAACAGCAGAAATTCCATACCATAACACAGTATAAAAAACAGTTAACATCATAACATATTATAGAAAAGTATACAATTAACAACAATATACAATTAACACCAACAGCCATTCGCATATGTTTTGATATTTTACCTTCCTTGTGGGAGGCTTTTCTCATCGCTGAGCCTGGAACCCCAGGTATCGGCGGTGGCCAGCAGAGCTTTTGCACAATTAAAACTTGTATGCCAGCTGCACCCGTTCCTTGGGAAGTCTGACTTGGCCACAGTGGTCCATGCTCTGGTTACATCCCGAATAGACTACTGTAACACTCTCTATGTGGGGCTGCCTTTGAAGACCTCTCAGAAGCTTCAACTAGTCCAACGGTCGTCAGCTAGGCTGCTTACCGGAGCAGCGTACAAGAAGCGTACTACTCCTTTGCTGCGCCAGCTCCACTGGCTGCCAATCAGCTTCCGAACACAATTCAAAGTGCTGGTTTTAACTCTTAAAGCCCTAAATGGTTCTGACCCTGATAACATATCCGAACGTATCTCTTGTTATGAATCATGAACCTTAAGATCATCAGAGGGGGCCCTGCTCTCGATCCCACCACTCACGCAAATGCAGTTGGTGGAGACAAGAAACAGGGTTGTCTCGGCAGTGGCCCCCCGTCTGTGGAACTCCCTCCCTAAGGACATCAGGTTGGCCACCTCCCTCCTGTCCTTTAGAAGACAATTGTAGACTTGGCTTTGGAACCAGGCATTTGACTAGTGGACAGAAGCAATGGGAAAGAAAATTGAGGACACCAGCAACATTGGATTTACCCGACTTGGTCTTGGTTTTAATCGGCATGTTTTAATTTATTGCTTAATGAACTTGTGAATGAATTTGTATAATGTCTTTAATGATTTTTACTGTAATCTTTGTTGTTATATGCTGACAGCATCACATTATGCTTATGTGAGGCCGCCCTGAGTCCCCCTTTGGGGGGAGAAGGGCGGGGTAAAAATGCATGAAATAAATAAATATATATATATTGTCCCCACACAGGGAGCCAGAATGGACAGAGGGAATGTGTGCAGAGTAGGGTGACTAAAATGATCAAGGGTCTGGAGAACAAGCCCTATGAGGAGCGGCTTAAGGAGCTGGCATGTTTAGCCTGAAGAAGAGAAGGCTGAGAGGAGATATGATCCATGTATAAATATGTGAGAGGAAGTCACAGGGAGGAGGGAGCAAGCTTGTTTTCTGCTTCCCTGGAGACTAGGACGCGGAACAATGGCTTCAAACTACAAGAAAGGAGATTCCATCTGAACATTAGGAAGAACTTCCTGACTGTGAGAGCCGTTCAGCAGTGGAACTCTCTGCCCCAGAGTGTGGTAGAGGCTCCTTCTTTGGAAGCTTTTAAACAGAGGCTGGATGGCCATCTGTCAGGGTGATTTGAATGCAATATTCCTGCTTCTTGGCAGGGGGTTGGACTGGATGGCCCATGAGGTCTCTTCCATCTCTAGGATTCTATCATTCTATCCACACTCTCCCCATATTCAAACCTCCAACCTGTCAGTCTTCAGTCTTGCCAGCACAAGGGTTTAACCCACTTAGCCAACGGGGCTCCATGAATGCTGGTGAACCTCACTTTTCAAAAGGTTTTGACTTCTAACCTAACAAGGTCATGCCTTTCCTTTGACCAGTGATTTTCCAAAAAGGTTATGAATCCCGTTTCCCAAATGGTTTTGGAGATTCAGATTTTCCAAAAGGTTATGGCATCATTTTGTCAAAAGCCGCAAGAACAACTGGTGATGGGAATTTTCAATTTGAAAACAAAACAGAACAAAAGATGGTAAAAGTGACAGACTATACCTAATCAACAATTGAGCATACCTTATACAAGACAGCCACCAGAATGGCTAAGAGCAGGATCCCACCGACAGTGCTGCCGATGATTATGGGAACAGGGTTGAAAGGTGAAATCAGCTCCACTTCAGTAATGATCTGCCAATGAGAGGAAGAGTACTCAAGTACTTGCCCATCACAACTGCCCCCTCCAGTTCCCTAGAGGTGCATCTCCATCTACATTTTAGAAAGCTGATCATGGTCAGGGAAGGGAAACATCCTCAGGTGCATTATAATATAGGGGTAGTAAAGCTGATGATCAGACGATATGGGAACTATAACCCAGTAACATCCATCCCTCTATTACAGGCATAGGCAAACTTTGGCCCTCCAGGTGTTTTGGACTTCAATTCCCACAATTCCTAACAGCCTATCGGCCTATTGTGAGAATTGAAGTCCAAAACACCTGGAGGGCCAAAGTTTGCACATGCTTGCTCCATTAAGCATTATCTCACACATTTCAAATAACCAATTCTGTGCTCAACCAATAGACACTGAGAACTGGGAAGCCCTGGCCCTTGAGAGCTCCAGCTGGAGGTCAGCTGTGACCAGCAGTGCTGCAGAATTTGAAGAGGCACGAATGGAGGGCAAAAAAGAGAAATGTGCCAAGAGGAAGGTGCATCAAGGCAACCCCAACCGAGACCGCCTTCCACCTGGAAACCAATGCCCTCAGTTTGGGAGAACATGCAGATCAAGAATAGGGCTCCACAGTCACCTACGGACCCACCAGAACACTGATCCTGGAAGACTATCCTACTCAGCCAATGAGGGATTGCCTTAGTAAGTAAGTAGGTAAAGTAAGCAACCAATTGCCATCTCTGTATAATGAGATGAGGACAGTTTCCATAGTATGAATTCAATAACTCTGTTTTTCAAGTTACCTGGCTAAAATGGAATTTCTCAGGAGGAACCTGGAAAAACCTGGTCTCGTCAACAAACACGGATGCTTCGCTGTGAAGATGAAAACTCTGGGAATCCAGCTGCAGAGTTGCCAAAACAGATTAAACAAAGATTGTTTTGTCCTTCATTTCTCTCCTTTCCTCCCACATCCTTTGACACACCTTAAACACTTCTCATGTGGTCAGCCCCTCAGTACAATTATTATTAGATCTGCCTGGCCACAGGTTCAAGGTATTTTTCTTTTTCTGCCAAAAATCTTTCCCTCCAACCAATAGGCTGGAATAGTCCTTCTTGTGGGGGTTGGTAAATATAAATAAACAGAAGCAGTACCACAATTTCCGAACCATTATATACCCTGCAGTATAATAAAGTGTCACTCGGGCTTGTGTAAGAAGTAACAGTATCTTTACTTCAGTTCAAAAGATCAAACAGGGTAACAATATATACAGCAGTCTCTCTGAATTCACACAGAGAACAGAGGGAATGAACAGCCCTTTTAAAATACTCCTTAAATTATGCTTCATGGCTTTAAATGATCAGGCTTCAGAGAGCTGGCAGCCATTTCCTTCCTGACTGTTTCCAGTCAGCACTCTCCTCACTCTCCAAAGTGAAAGTGGCAGTTAAAAACCAGCAGCAAGCCAGAAACAGCAGCCAATTAGTACTCTGGCTCCTGGCATGCTCAGCCAATCAACTGCCGCAACATGTCTTTCCAGTTAACCCACCATTTCATGGCATCTCTTTTCAAAGCCTCACACTTCTTACCTGGAAGAAATAAGTGCTACTTACCTTACTAGTATCTTCCTTTCTATAAAATTCCCCAGAAAACCTGAATTTGACCTTCTCTTCTGGAGAGAGATTGGCAATCAAGCAATGAAATCTGGTGCAGGTAGCTGTCTCTGGACATCCTCTCTGGCAAAAGGAAGGGAGGGAAGGAGGGAGGTGACCAGTTAACATCTGTCCTCACCAGCTAACAGCTGCATCTCAATCTGTGCTAGAAGAGAACCTTCTATAAACAGTCACCAACCAGCATCTAAAGCAGTGGTTCTCAACCCGTGGGTCCCCAGGTGTTTTGGCCTCCAACTCCCAGAAATCCCAGCCAGTTTACCAGCTGTTAGAATTTCTGGGAGTTGAAGGCCAAAACATCTGGGGACCCACAGGTTGAGAATGACTGATCTAGAGGTAGCTGTATTTTCTATCCAGATCGTCTTACCTTAATTGGTTCTTTGAGATTTGTAGTCTTTAATTTCATCCTGGGGGTGATCAATGGCATACAAGAGGTGTTCATCTGAAACAAAACAGAATATTCTGCACAACTTGGAAAAAATGTCCCAGCAGTGAGTCCGCCTCTTCGCTTCACAGTCAGCTAGCCATGCCTTCTTCAGGATGGTCCAATTGTATCAGTTACTCACATTTTCCCTTGTCCAATAGTCCATTTGCACTCTCCGTCTAAGATCACTTGCCACTACTGAGCATGACCATTTGGGGGGGGGGGGGATGAATTATCTCATGAAGATTAACTGAAATACCTACATCCCAATCTGTTAATATATCCTTTTGATTTTGTGCATAGATCCAGGCACCACAATTTAAGGATACAGTCAAGCAGGGCCACAGCCAGAAAAAAATGGGGGACAGGGTTTGAAACTTTTGAAAGTTTTTTTTACTGAATCGTGAAAAGTAGTTCCATAACACAAAATAATTTAAATACTATGGTTAATTCTATATTTTATACAAACTTAAATAAATCAATTTTATATTTTAATTACAAAGTTTCAAGTCTTAAAATAACTGAAAATGTCTGTTAATTGGTAATTTATTGTTACAAAAGAATACCACAACATCTGTTGGAAACACTTGAAAACTGTGTCAATACACTTTTGACAGAAATCACGCTCCATTGATAAACTTCGGTGAACACTCTAGAGTGCAAGTCCTTGTACTTCTTATGTATATTTTCAAATGTTTAAGAGTTGAAAACAACCTATATATAGGCATTCAATGAGAAACCTACTATCTGGAAAAGGGGAGGGGGGAGCAAAGATGGAAGGGCTTAATTCCGATTAGAAACCTGCCCCAGCTTCTGTCAACCTAGCAGTTCAAAAACATGCAAAGGTGAGTAGATCAATAGGTACCTCTGAGAAGGTAACAGTGCTCCATGCAGTCATGCTAGCCACATGACCTTGGAGGCATCTATAGACAATGCTGGCTCTTTGGCTTAGAAATGGAAATGAGCACCATCCCCCAGATTTGGACACGACTAGACTTAATGTCAAGGGGAAACCTTTATCTTATATTATATTTACAGGGGCCACATTGCATTTCAAAATTTGACAGACGGGTCGGGCCAGTGGCAGACGGATGGAGAATATTTGTGTGAACTTACTGGGGGAGAAAAGAACAAATTCCTATGCACACTGCACGTATTTTGTTTGTAGTGCAAAAAAGAGAAAGAACCATACAATATTTAAAATTAAAATATTTACAATTTTAACCAACATAAACTTAACAATATTTCAGTAGAAGACCCTCTACTAGCTTTCTGGAGCAGCAGTGCACCCTCATTTTTTACCAGAAAGAGGTTAATCTGGGGATTTTGTAGGTGACACAGCAACATCCTTGGAGAGCTACATGCCTCCTTGGAACCTAACATTGTCCAACCCTGAACTAGAAGATACTTGGGAAACCTTCCAATTCTATGATTATTTTCTGTCTCGTTGACACTCTCACTCTACACTTTGCCACATCCTTCCTCACAAGATTGGCTACTCACCACATAACTGTGAGTTGGGGTCACATTCCAGAAGAAGCCCAACTTTGTCTCAGAGGGAAGTTCGAAGGTCACATTGACTGGGGTGGAGTTTGAGCCCTTGTTTTGAACCTACAAGAGCAAAAGGGATATATGGAATAATGTGATTTAAGGATGAGAGACTGTAGATAAGAATAAATCAGCTATATATTACCACATAGGCATGCATAAGGATTTTCCTTTGTGGGATCTCTGTAGAGAAATTCAGGTAGGTGGTGGACTGAAGCCTAAAGGAAAAGGGAGAGGACAAATGAAATGTTCATGGAGTTCAAAGGTGGGCATCGGTCAAGAGGCGGGGAAACCACACCGCACTGGACAGCCACCTCTGAGAATTTGGAGGAAAGGGATCGAAGGGCAGAATTACCCCTTAACTATGACGTCGACTGGATGTAGCACAGGCAGGGAGCCTGTGGCCTCATTGTCACTTAGGGTACGTGTGTCATTCTCATTCTGACTGGAAGACAAACAAGAGTTAGGATCACCAAATCAGACAGTGAAGAGTCCAAATTGGACAATGAAGATACATTTGGACTGTATTACAGGACTCTTTCATTCTACTACAGTTGCATTACCATTGAGAGTGAATGCATATTGAGCACCTTTGATATATTTGGTAACCATCGTCCTGCAAACACACATCCACACTCCCTCATAATTCTGCTTTCCTGCACTACTGTAGTTCCTTAATTTAAAAAAAAAGATTTTTAACATAATTGCATAATTCCAGAATTTGAAATCCCCTTCCACAAACCCAACTATATAAATCCCTCTATATAAAAGTCAAAGTCTGTGTGCCTATCTATATTATAAAATCTGTTGCAATTCCTAAGACCACATCATAGAGACATGGCATTTAAAGTAAGGTCCAATTGCATTCATTCCACAGTGAAGATGCACCCAGAAAAGGGTGTGGACCTTGGGAAACTATAACTCCAAGGAAGACTCCATCGCACAGAGCCATGACATTTAAAGTGGGGTGCCAGGGCATTCATTCCATACTGTAAATGTACCAAGAGAAGGGTATGGACCTTGGAAACTGACTCCCAGGACTGCACAGCATGGATTCATGGCATGATGATGATGATGATGGCATTTAAAATGTATCCCTACTTTATTTATTCTCCAGTGTAGATGCATCCAGGGAAGAGTATGAACCTTGGGAAACTATAACTCCCAGGACTGCACAGCATGGAGACATGGCATAATAATAATAATAATAATAATAATAATAATAATAATAATAATAATAATAATTGTCAAGTGCAAAAGGCCATAGTCCTTGGGAAGTGTTTGACTTGTGATTTTGTGATACAAAATCCAGGATATAGATCTCCTTTGCTGTGTCATACTGTGTTTTGTGTCAGTAAAATAATAATCATAGTGTCTGACATGTGATCCAATACAACAACCAGCATAGTGATCTTGTTTGCTGTGTACTAATCTTGTTATGTTTCAAACAACAACAACAACAACAATGGCATTTGAAGTGGGTCAGAACTGTCCCTAACAAGGGTATCTTGGCTCCTCCCACAATTTCCCCTCCCATAAATTGGGGAAACATCACATTTTAATCCTGAGAGCAATAAATGCCATTACAATGAACTGGCCATTCATCTGGATCATTCCCCAAAAATCCACTTCCCCACCACCTCCTGAAACATTTGAAAAGAATCTAACCTAATGTGATGAACACAGCAGGTTACCAGATTCAGGGGCGGCTCAACCCATTACGCAAAGTAAGCATTTGCAGTATAGTTAATTTTGCCCAGGGGCGCTCTTGAGGCGCTCTTGAGGGAAAATAGACCTTGACATATGTGAGTTGTAGTTACTGGGCTGTATAGTTAACATACAATCAAAGAGCATTCCGAACTCCACCAATGATGGAATTGAACCAAAGAGCACACAGAACTCCCACGACGAACAGAATATATATATCAGTGATTGTTTGGGGGGGGGGGGCGCCAAAATACTGTTTGCTTACCGTTGAAAATTACCTAGGGCCACCACTGACCAGATTTTAAGTATAGGACTTGGTGGAATTTAGAAATTTGATGAAGTGGTAAGTGAAATGTTTGAAAAGAATGCTCGTGCCCATGCTTAAAATATGCAAAGAATGCTCTGTCCTACACTGGAAGCCAAATGAATGTGATGAGAACAGTGGCTTCCTGGATTTTAAGTGTAGCACTCAGTGGAATTTAGTAAATGTGATGAAGTGGTAGATCAATGGCATGCTGGTACACAGCAGAAGGGACTCATTGCACCAAAGCAGGTGATGGGAATATTGTGGGACGGGAAGCTTTAATAGCTAAGGATAGGAGAATCATGGGATAGCAATAGGATTATGCAATAGGAGCTGTGACCAAAGGTGAAAGTCCCACTGCAATGCTTGTTTTGTGTGATAAATTCCACAATGTCTTCTCATACCTGTGGGCCTGAATGGTGACGGATGCAAACTTGTCATACCAGGACTTTCCTTCGGAAGAGCGGAAGGAAAACTTGAGGAAAGCCTTAAAGGAACAAATAAGTCCATTATGACATTTCTGAATAGGGACTTCCCCAAGCCCACCCTTCACACTTTCTCTTCCTTTTCTCGTTATGGCCAATAACTTTGATTTCACTCTCACATTCATTTTCCCAGCGCCGTGCTTCCCCATCTTACCTGAATGCCTCTCTTGAGAGCCGGGGGTTTAAAACTGCAGAAGCTGTGGTGGGTGGATGAGTTCCCTTGGTGTCCGTGCATTTGGCAAGATGGGGACAGGCGCCAGTTTGACTTGAAGGGAGACAGAGAGAAGTAAAAACCCATTTATTCAAAATTAATGAAAGACATCACCTGAGAAAATCAACAAACAGATTTAAACAGGTGAAGTCTCTCTTACATTTTATTACAGTGAATGGTTGCCTGCTAAAACATTCTTCCATGAATAATACAGTCCGCCCTCCACACTTGCAGGTTTGACGCTTGCGGATTTGATTATTCACAGATTTGATTCGTATCTTCTCTCCAGTAAGTTGACTACAGAGTTCTACTGGAGAACCTAGACCAGTGTTTCTCAACCTTCCTAATACGGTGAACCCTTAATACCGTTCCTCATGTTGTAGGGACCCCCAACCATAAAATTATTTTCATTGCTACTTCATAACTGTAATTTTGCCACTGTTATGAATCGTAATGTAAATATCTGATATGCAGGATGTATTTTCATTCATTGGACAAAATTTGGCACAAATACCCGATACACCCAAATTTGGATACTGGGGGGTTTGGGGGGATGGAATTGATTTTTTTATTCGGGAGTTGTAGTTGCTGGGACTCATAGTTCACCTGCAATTAAAGAGCATTTTGAACTACACCAATGATGGAATTGAACCAAACTTGGCACACAGAACTCCACTGACCAACAGAAAATACTGGAAGGGTTTGGTGGGTATAGACCTTGAGTTTTGGAATACTAGTTCAGCTACAACCAGAGAGCACTGTGGATTCAAACAATGATAGATCTGGACCAAACTTGGCAAAAATACTCAATATGCCCAAATGTGAACACATTGTGGAGTTCACATTGGTGAAATAGACCTTGACATTTGGGAGTTGTGCTTGCTGGGATTTATAGTTCACCTACAATCAAAGAGTATTCTGAACCCCATCAACAACTGAATTGGGCCAAACTTCTCACACAGAACCCCCATGCTTTGAAGGGACTTGCTGGCATGAGCCTCCCTCCAGCCTTGCACATTCTCCCTCACCCACACATACACACTACGCTGCCATGAGCTGAGCATGCCTGCTCTCCCCTCCACTGCCTGGAGTCTCAGAAACAGCCCTCCCTTGGATGACAGGCTGGCTAATCACAACAGAGGAGAGCTTTGATGGGAGGCTTCACCATCTGTTTCCATAAAGGAAGAGAAATTCAGGAGGAGAGATCTTCAGCCTTCTCTGCCAAAGGGGTTCCTAAGACCATTAGATAGATAGATAGATAGATAGATAGATAGATAGATAGATAGATAGATAGATAGATTTACGACCTCTCTGAAACCTCCTTCTGACACCCCCCCCCCAGAGGTCCCAATCCCCAGGTTGAGAAACACTGACCTATAACTTCATCACAGTAGAGAATGAATCCACTTTAAATCCAGTTTCTGCCTCCTGCAGAATTCTGAGGTTTGAAGTTTAGTGAGGCTGTTAAAGGCTCCTCCATAAACTACAAACCCCAGAATTCTGCAGGAGGCAGAAACTGGATTTAAAGTGGATTCATTCTCTAGTGTGATGAGGCTTCCAGAGCTTTCTAGGCATTCCTACATCCCCAACATATCCCAACCTTCACTCTCTTCCTATCTTTCTTCTCCCGCATCGAACCCCTACAAATTGTTCCTTCAACTCACCTGAAGAACTGAAACCCCTTGAAAAGACAGAACTGGGGAGTAGTAAAAGGAAAGGCCTGGTTCATATGCCGTCTCTCCCACATTTTCCAGTTTCACCGTTAAATTTAGTATGAAATCTGGACTCAGATTAAGACCTTTGGATCTGAAATGAGATTATATATTGAGTCAACCCTTGGGCCTTGGGAACAGGACCTCAGGCAAATCTTTGCCTCTCCTCTCAGTTTCCGCTCCTGAACATTAGGCATAAACACTGCCTATTGTAAAGAAGATACAAAGAAGAGATTGCAAAGTATTCCTCTAATGATTAGTTGCTCGGGTGAGTTCATGCAGACAAATATATGAAAAGCAGCATCTTGGAAAGTTACTTTTTGAACTACAACTCCCAGAATTCCCAACATAGCCAAAAAAAGAACCGTTTCCAAGTTCTGTGAGATAGGCATATTATGTAAAGCCTCCTTGTATACTACTTGGGGGAAATGATCACCAGGGGCCATTAGGTAAAGGTAAAGGTTTTCCCCTGGCATTAAGTCCAGTCATGTTCAACTCTGGGGGTTGGTACTCATCTTCATTTCTAAGCCAAAGAACCGGGATTGTCCATAGACACCTCCAAGATCATATGGCCGGCATGACTGCATGGAATGCCATTACCTTCCCTCTGGAGCAGTACCTATTGATCTACTCACAGTTGCATGTTTTCAAACTACTTGGTTGGCAGGGGCCATTGCACACGACCAAATGATTCTACTTTGTTATGACTGCATCCTAGGATTTAGTTGACTGAGAATTCTAAATGGTCCCCTCCAAACTCTATATCCCGAGATTCTGTAGGATGTTTACATGGCAATTAATATGGAATCATGGTGCCACAAATGTGTAGTGTACAAGGGTCCTAGGTTTCCATTTTCAGCACAAGGTGACTGAAAATACAAGATGATGCACATGACCTTAAGAATGTATTGCAGCATCTCTTATGCATGTGACTCCAAGGGAAGCTATCAGGCTGCATTCCAGAACAAACAAAGAGTTAAGGAATCATTTTGAAGATGTCCTATAATGTCATAGAGGAACCTGGGTATAATATGCAGCTTCTGTACTGCTTTTTTTACCAGCAGAGAGCCAACCCCATAATTCCTTGAAATATTCATGGGGATTAATATTTCATCCAGGATTGTGACGCAGCTGGCTGAGTGTCAGCTGCATTAAGATCACTGACATGAGTTCAAAGCCAGCCCAGGTTGGAGTGGGTTTCCAACCAATTGTGTGTAGCTTGTTGTTGACCTTTGCAACCCAAGACAGTTGCATCTGTCAAGTAGGAAAATAAGGTACCACCTTAAAGTGTGGGGAGGCTAAATTAACTGATTTATGAGGCCATAAAGAAGACTCCAGCAAAGCATTCCAGCGGGGAAGCATGCGGGGAATGCGGAAGTGCTTCATCAGCGTCGCAGATGGACGATGAAAGCGACAGCTCCCCTGGCGGCCAGAAAAAGTTAAATAGCCTCTGTGTATGTCTGTATATGTTTGTATGTCAAAAATTGGCATTGAATGTTTGCCATATATGTATACACTGTAATCCGCTCTGAGTCCCCTGCGGGGTGAGAAAGGCAGAATATAAAAGCTTTAAATAACTAATAAATAAATAAACAAATGGTAAACATGCATTTTCACTGAACCTCAATCTGTTTCTGCTAGATGGATTCTGGTAGACCCCGTATTTGTTTTCACACGCCTCTCAAAAATGGGCACATAGCCGTTTTCAGTCCGCAGCCAAAAATACGGCTAGATCCGGCTCATTGAGGAACTTACGAGACTCTCCTTTCTATTCTTGGGACCCTTTGCTTTTTTCCCTTCAAGGGAGCCTTAGTTCCAGCAACAGGGTTAAGGAAGCGAACACAGCTTGCATAAGACATGTCACACCATTCTTCTATCACAACAGGCAGAGCTCACAGGGAAATCGTGTGCGAACAGCACGCAGCAGCCTCTTTGAGTGCCGTGTATGCCAAATAGGGGAGGAAGAGCCGTTATCGACTGCCATGTGGTCTCGTAACAAATGAAAAAACGTGACGGCTGGGCCCTTGCTGTTACAGCCATCCGACCAAGCCGAACAAGCCAGATTGGTCAAAGGGAACGACCACTTCGAATCCGTGAACAAGCCTAATGGACGGTTCCCTCTTCCCTGCGGTGCATCTTTGCAAGAGATCCTAAGTCATAGCAGTGTATAATAGGACAATGTCTTGTGAAGGATTCACAGGAGATGCTCACCCCGAAAAGTTGAAGGAGACCCGAAGATCAGACACACAAATCTCATCAGGGCCACAGTCTTGCTCGAAGGGAACCTTGTGTTGCAACATGAAAAAGAGCAACATGGTGAATAGGATGGATCAAAAGAGTACAACTCAAGAGTATATAAAATCTGGAAGATCGTGAAAGATAGGCACAAATCTATCCCATGGTGTTCTAAATTTCTTTTATGTTAAAATCTCCATAAGTATTCTAGTCCTCTGTGAGGATGACTGTCTCTTCTTCTTTCCTTTTTGTCACTGTAATTAAATAACACAAGGCAACCGAGTCGCAAGGAGAGGAAGATAATAAATATATTATTATTATTATTATTATTATTATTATTATTATTGTTATTATTATTATTATTATTATTATTATTATTATTATTATTGTCGAAGGCTTTCATGGCCGGAATCACTGGGTTGTTGTAGGTTTTTTTCAGGCTATATGGCCATGTTCTAGAGGCATTCTCTCCTGACGTTTCGCCTGCATCTATGGCAAGCATCCTCAGGTAGTGAGGTGCTTGCCATAGATGCAGGCGAAATGTCAGGAGAAAATGCCTTTAGAACATGGCCATATAGCCCGAAAAAACCTACAACAACCCATTATTATTATTATTATTATTATTATTATTATTATTATTATTCTGACACAAAGACACAGTATCACAAAATCACAAGTCGAACACTTCCCAAGCATTTAGAACTGTGTGATGTATTATTATTATTATTATTATTATTATTATTATTATTATTATTATTTCTTCTCTGTAGAGTTGAGACTAGCATGCATATGATTGGACAGTCAATTGTCCCATCAGCCAGTGACTGACAAGACCTGGATCTGCTCAGAAGCAGCAGATTGTGGCTGGTGGTTTTTGGGAATTGCGGTCCCGTCCCCCCCAAATATAACTTTTTGCAAGTTTACAAGGTTATGAACATGATAGGAAGCAACAAAAATGAACACCTTGATTGCAGGAGAAAAGTTAGTTTCAGGGTCGATGACTGGACGTAGATTCGTGGCATCAGCTAACCCTTTACCTTTGAAGTTTGCCCTGAATACAACTGGAGAGAAGATGTCATCCAGGCAGGCCTAAAGGAGAAGGAAAAGTTTCCACATGGATCAGCACATTCTTGGCTTGGTCCAGGTTATTTGAAGGATCATGTCTCTCTGTTTGAGCCTATGAGAACGCTATTATCATCTTAAGAGGGCTGTCTCTCTGTCCCACCACCCGCTCAAGTGCATTTGGTGGGAGAGGGCCTTTTTGGTGGCTGCTCCCAGACTCTGGAACTCCCTTCCTTCTAGAGCAGTGGTTCTCAACCTGTGAGTCTCCAGATGTTTTAGTCTTCAACTCCCAAAAATCCTAAAAGCTGGTTGGGATTTCTGGGAGCTGTAGACCAAAACATCTGGGGACCCACAGGTTGAAAACCACTGTAGAAACCAGGAGGACCCCATCTATTCTTGCCTTTTGCAGACAGATGAAAACAAATCTCTGCTCTCAAGCACTAAAAGAAGGATGAGAGACAGGCTGATGGGGACACTGTGAATGGAATTGGGGATGAGAGGATGTCTAGTTTTAATATTTTTATTCTCCTTGACACAAAAGATCTAGTAGTTTTGAATTTTTTATATTCATATATTAATGCATTTGCTTGGTTTTAATTGTCAGAATATGTTGAGGTATATTGTGTGTTTTAAATGTGATTCTTGAATTGCCAATATGGATGCCACTTAGAATGTAATGCTATACTGAAATGTTTATGTTGAGGCTGTGACTGAGTGACCTTAAGATAAGCTCTCTGCTGCTGAGAAAATTTAGGGAGTTAACCGTTTGGAGCAGCAGAGCTAAGCAGCTGCAAAGAACTGTTTTGACTTTCTGTTTTCCTTGTGCTTTCCTGTGTGTTGCTCGCTGTAGATGGATGTGTTTTAGATGTGCTTAGTAAACTGAGTTTTCCTTGTAACCTGACGTCTCCAGAGTCCATGATTTTACAGAGCTGTATCTGGTGTATCTAGCATTTGCTTCTGTCAAGTTGCGCCTAAGCTTGACATTAATTGTGTCACGTCATGTGTGCTGTTAGCCACCTTGAATATTAAGAGAAAAGTGGGGGAAAATGTAGTAAATATGAAGTAAAAAAATAAATAATAATTAAATAAATTATCTCCCTAAAAGTTGAGCATCAACAAAAGAGTGTTACTTTAATGGACAAATTCTTTGCTATGAGATTCTTCTACATTGGGCCCCTCTGTTTGTATGCTTTTCCAATTTTTTTGTTTCACATATTTCATAGATTCAAACTAAGTCATATATGGATGAGGGATAGCAGAATGTGATCAAGGTGGCAAAAGTTGTTACTAAGAAAAAACAGAGGAACTGGGAAGGGCTGCAGTAGTTTGATTTTTCCTGAAGTCTACTGAGAAGGGTGAGATTCTCTCCTGTTTTGTCCTTTGCTGAGTTAATCGAGCACAAACTGTTTCTGAACTTTGGGTCTGCATTTGGACTAGAGAGCCTTTGTGGTCTCTTCCCACTCTATGATTCTGTGATTCACTTTGAAGCAATTAAGTAAGCAGAGGACAAAGGGGGGAAAGGGACACACAGAGAGAAAACTATGACATTTTAAAAGTAGCTGAACAAATGGGACAACAGAGGATTAGTTGGGACTGTCCCTGCAGTTGGGATATATATATATACCATTAAATAACCCCCTCCCCATCTCTGCATGTACAAAATGTCATCTCTTAGGATTCCCAATGGCATATCCATTCCCAAGGGAGTGACATCTCTGGCCTATCCTCTGTTCAGATATTAGCCAGCACACCAATGCCTTACATCAAGAATTAGCTTTCTAAGATCTACAGAGATACTCACAGGAACATCTCAGCAAGCCAGAGTCCAAAAGTGGCAGGCTGAAATCTGGAACCTCAATCAGTGGCTGAGATTGCATGAGAGACTCCCTCATAGAATCATAGAATGATAGAATCATAGAGTTGGATTTTATTCATGGGGCATCCAGTCCAACCCCCTGCCAAGAAGCAGGAAAATTGCATTCAATGCACTCCCGACAGATGGCCATCCAGCCTCTGTTTAAAAGCCTCCAAAGAAGGAGCCTCCACCACACCCTGGGGCATAGAGTTCCACTGCTGAACATCTCTTGGACACACAGAAGACTGGGTGACTTGGAAGGCACTGAACAGACTGCGCTTTGGCACCATGAGATGCAGAGCCAATCTTCAAAAATGGGGATACAAAGTAGACTCCACAACATATGAGTGTGGAGAACAGCAGACCACAGACCACCTACTACAATGAAGCCTGAGCCGTACTACATGCACAATGGAGGACCTTTGTATAGCCACACCAGGGGAATTCCACGTGGCCAGCTTCTGGTCAAGGGACATTTAGCATAATGACAAGTTTTTAACTTTGTTTGTGTTTTTAAATACATTGTAATTGTAACCTCAATTTGCTTCTGACACGATAAATCAAATCCATTCCCTACCGGAGCCTGGAGGGACTCCTTGACACACACTGTCATCATTCCAAGACGGATGCTCTTGTTGATGGTAGGGTTCTCATTCTCAAATGTAAGACGTGGCATAGATTTTGCTGCATCGGACTGGATAGTATAGGAGATGAATACCCGCAGAACATCTATTAAAAAAGAAAAGAACATTCAAGGAGCAGGACAAACAGGAATGGCTAAAGTAATAAGTTTACCTGTCCAAACGTATCTTCCCCTACAAACCATCAAGGACTTCAAGATCTTCCGGAAAGGCCCTGCTCTTGGCTTCGCAGAGGTGGTGGGACCAAGAGCAGGGCCTCTCCGGAAGACCTTAAAGTCCTTGATGGTTTGTAGGGGAAGATACGTTTCGACAGGTGGGGACGAGAGGCAGGGCCTTCTCTGTGGTGGCCCCCTGGCTATGGAACTCTCCCCAATGAGGTTAGGTCTGCCCCCTCCCTCCTGACCATCATCCTGGCTATGGAATCAGGCATTCACAGATTAGATGAATTGCACCGGTGAAGACTAAGATTTTATTAGACCACAATTTTGGGTTGAGTTGGATGATGTCTTTAACTTGGTGAATTGTATTTTACATGTATTTTATAATGTATTTATTATGTATGTTGTCTTAAAATATGATTACATTGTATAGCATTGAATCTTTGCTGCTAGAAGCTGTTCTGAGTCCCTCCACGGAGGTAGAGAAGGACGGGATATAAATGTTTTAAATAATAATAATAATAATAATAATAATAACAATAATAACTTTATTTTTATACCCCGCCTCCATCTCCCCAAAGGGACTTGGGGCAGCTTACAAAGGGACAAGCCCAGGGAACACAGAGTTAAAATGTAATGCAATGAAATAAAACAAAATGAAACTAAATAGAAACATATCACAATAAAACATAATCCTTTTATAATTTCAATTTAGAAACAGTTCTTCCTGTTGGAAATAGCAACTTCCTTCAAGCCTCCACTAGTTATTTGTTATGGACATAATTCAGATGCTTACTGTATTGTATGTGCGTATCAGTTTTCAGTTTTTCTTTAACTCTTGGTTGTAAGACGGGCTGCAAACCATATGATCAGAACTGGGATTGTTCACGACTCAGACTCCATTTTAGAACAGTTTGTTTCAGATGCCAGCAGGAACAGTATGCTTTTAAACTCCGTTACAAACAGTATGCTATTGAAGTCTATAGCAACAGAATACTGTACAGACTCCATTGGACTTTCAGACTAGACAGAGACTTAATTCGACTCTCAGAACAGAGAGATGCTTTAGATTATGGGCTGTTGATTATAAGAAGGATGCTGTGTTACTTACACAGAAAAACTACTTCAAATCCTATTTGTAACTGGATTGAGATGCAAAGTACCTGTATGCTTATTTTTGTCTCTTGACAGTTTAATTTAAAGGCAAATATATTTTAAGGGAGAGTAGATGTTTTTGGACAACTAAAAGAACCCTTCTGAAACTCTGTTTTGTGCACTGGCAAATCTTTGTCCCTAACAGTTCAAAGACATACGTAGGTACATCATTTTGACAGCTGATAAACCTAATTGCCTTGCATTAATGCCATTTTCCCAAAAGGTTATATGGCATTATTTTCAAAAGGTTGTGACTTCTAACAAGTCATGGCTTTCCAAAGATCATAAAATCACCTCACAACCTCTGAGGATGCCTGCCATAGATGCAGGCAAAACGTCAAGAGAGAATGCTTCTAGAACATGGCCATACAGTCCGAAAAAATACAACAACCCAATCACCAAAAGTTTACAGAGATTCCCATTTTCCAAAAGCTCCAACCATTTACCGTATATTCTGGTGTATAATACTACTTTTAACCCAAGAAAATCTTCTCAAAAGTCAGGGGTCGTCTTATACGCGGGGTCGTCTTATACGCGGGAGTAGTCTTATACATGAGAGTAGTCTTATGCACGGGAGTAGTCTTATACATGAGAGTAGTCTTATGCACGGGAGTAGTCTTATACATGGGAGTAGTCTTATAGAGCGGGTGCTGAAACTTCCAATTGGATTGGAGAATCTGTGGTTGCCGCATATGGTGGGGGGAGCTCAAAAATGGCAATGGCCGTGTCCCTGCCATATGCAGCAACTGTATGAAAGCATTAAGGGCGACACTGCACAAGTACGGCAGAAGAAAATCCATTCATCAGGATTTGTGGACTTAATGCGGTCCCGATGGTGAGGTGAAGGGGCGCCTCACCAGGAAGGTGTAAGTGAAGGGAGGAGCAAGCTGCAGGCGCCTGGGGCACCTGGGATATGGAATAAAGAGATAGAGTGGCTCTGGACCCAGAAAAGCACACCTCTATTACCTGTCTGACCTCCTCCTCTGCCTCTCAGATCTCTCTCCTGAAGACGGCAGTGAAGCGGTGCAGGTGCACATGTGAGAGATCTGAGAGACAGAGAAGGAGGTACACTAATAGGAAAATTAGCATATTGAAATCAAATCTGATGCTTTAAAAAAAATTGGTGTGCATTGGAAGAGGGGTAGTCTTATATGGCGAATATATCCCAAACTCTATATTTTAACTGGAAAAGTTGGGGGTCGTCTTATACGCCCAGTCGTCTTATATGCCGGAATATATGGTAATTGAAGTAAAATGAGGAAAAATAATGTAAAACTAAGAAATAAGAGCAGACAAAAGGGAAATAAGGATTTTAACAGAAAATGAAGGCATGATACAGAATCTCAAGTGTGAACAAACAAACAAGTATATGAAAAAGGATTGTATACATAATATTGTACACACAAACGAAAAGGAAATTATTTCTGGAGGCAGGTGGGAGGACTTGATGGCTCTTTTAAAAAATTGGGTCTTACCATTGTTCTGTTTTGGGCTGATGGGCTGCAAAGTGAAGCAAACGCTGAGGTTTCCACGGGGCCCGATACCCAAATGCTTTCCACTTCCACAGGAAGGGTCATCCAGGGGGATCAGTGAAGGAGAGAAACTCAGTGAAAGGTTGACAGTGAAAACAGGCCTGGATCTGAAGTGCAGGAGACAGAAGATATGACCTTTCCAATTTAGCATTTGCCCAAAGTCCCTGACCAATCGAACCACAATCCTGTTATTAGTCATCTGATTTAGACATTAGAATCTCATTTACCTGCATACCTTTTACACCTACAATAACTTAACGACTTGAATCAAGAAATAGTTTTCTAAGATCTACAGAGACACTTGCTGGAACACCTCAGCAAGCGAGAATCCAAAAGTGGCAGGCTCAAACCCAGAACCTCAATCAATGGCAGATACCAAATAAGAGACTCCCTCCTGAGCACACAGAAGACTGGGCGACTTGGAAGGCACTGAACAGACTGCGCTCTGGCACCACGAGATGCAGAGCCAACAAAGAAATGGGGCTACAAGTTGGAATCCACAACAGTGTGGAGAAGAGCAAACTACAGACCACCTGCTGCAATGCAGCCTGAGCCCTGATACATGCACAATGGAGGACCTTCTTATAGTAACAGCAGAGGCACTTCAAGTGGCCAGCTACTGGTAAAACAACATTTAATCAACTACCAAGTTTGCAAACTTTGTGTTTTGTTTGTTTGTTTGTTTTTAATGCAATACAACAGTTTGGTTCTCTCCTGACATGATAAATAAATAAATAAACGTACAATAAGGGTCTTTGGACCATAATAAAATGATGTTGTTGTTGTCACTGCATTAGAATTTTAATCATCTCATAGCAATACGTGCCCTCCAAAATTCCACAGCTGAAAACTAGGACACATATAGCCATATAACCAAACAACATCTAAGCGTGATTACAATGGTGCAAGTTATTATTTTAGAAATACACACATATATTTAAGGGGCTTGCAGCAGTTTGCTTCTGCTTAAATCAACAGGGAAGACTGAGATTTCATTCCCTCCTCTCCGCATTAATAGTGTGCCAACTACTTCTTCATTTTGAACTCAGTTTGCAGCAATTGAAGTAAGGAAAAAGGGAATTGGGAAGAAAAGAGAGAAACTAGGACATATACAGAAAGGTTGGCTGGCACAGAACTTATTAGAATTGCCAAATGGAGACAGTTGAAGGGTATAGCACTGGTATAGGCACACTTGGGCCCTTCGGGTGTTTTGGAGTCCAACTCCCACCATTCCTAACAGCCTCGGGCCCCTTCCTTTTCCTCAGAAAAGGGAGGGGCCTGAGGCTGTTAGGAATGGTGGGAGTTGGAGTCCAAAACACTTGGAGGACCCAAGTTTGCCCATGCCTAGTGTAGCAACATCTGGGGGAAAGAAAAATCCTATCTTGTCAGTTAAATGGCCATGCCATCCATGCCTACCGAAGTATCACTGCACTTCCTAGCGCTCCAACAGCCAAGTCAGTCAGTTCATCTCCACTTAGATCCAACCTTCCCTGGATGGACTGTCCAAAAAACTGGAGCACAGAAGAGAAAGAGGCAGCAGAGATGCGCTATATGACGGAGAGAGAAAAAAATGAGTTACTGATATAGACGTACCTTGAGTTTGATCATTACGCCTGTCTTTGCGCCAGGAAATGTTTTTTAAACTGTCACCCAACAAAGCAAATCTTTAATCAGACCAGAATAGGGATTCATAATGACATTACTGCATGGAGAAGATCTGTTTACACCCTGGGCTGCATTTGCTTTCCCACAACCCTTTGAGGCAGTGGTCTCAACCTGGGGTCCCCAGATGTTTTTGGCCTTCAACTCCCAGAAATCCTAACAGCTGGTAAACTGACTGGGATTTCTGGGAGTTGTAGGCCAAAAACATCTGGGGACCTCAGGTTGAGAACCACTGCTTTGAGGTATGGTTTTAAACTTTCAACACTGTGCAGTGGCAGCTCTAAGATAGGGTCATTGGCTTCTATCCATTCAAAGCAGAGCTGGAATCTCTGGATCTGGATATCTTAACCATTTCCACAGATCTGAGGCCTTCTAGATGCCTTGGACTATTTTCTGCATTATCTCCAGCCAGTCTGGCCTGGCGCAGAGCACATCTGGAGGACACCGACATGGGGAAAGCTGGCCTAGCGTGCATCTGATAATTAATGCAATTTGATGGCATTTTAGCTCCATAAGATGAAATTATAGGAGTTTTTAAAGGTCTTTTGCCATCTCTAGTGCATCACCAAACTACAACTTCCAGGATTCCACTGTATTGAGCCACGGCAGTTATCGCAATTGCGTTTGGTGGGGACAAGGGACGGGGCTTTTTCTGTGGTGGCCCCTCAGCTGTGGAACTCCCTCCCAAGTGAAATTAGATGTGCTACATCCCTCTTGACCTTTCGGAAACAAGTGAAATCCTGGCTATGGGATCAGGCCTTTGTAGATTAGGTTGACCTGCTGTCGTGACGGCTTTTATGGAACTGGCTGACTGCTCCTTGGACGATGACGTAAACAGGCGACTTTTGACTGTTTGATTGTTTTTTATACTGTTTTATATTGTTTTATACTGTTTTATTGCTATATTGTTATTTAAATTGTATATTTATGTTTGGTTGTGGGCACCATGGGGTGCCGGCCTGTTAGCCGCCCTGAGTCCCTCTGCGGAGGTCGAGATAGGACGGGGTACAAATGACCAAAATAAATAAATAATAAAGTGGTATCAAACTGCATTAATTCTACAATGTAGATGCATCCTTAGATCCAAAGCTAGCTCTTTAACCAATGGTTTTGATGAGATTGGTTCTATACTGACCATATATTGCAGTGTGTACTGCATTCTATGGTCAGTATAGAACCATATAATGCGGTCCAATGCAGCACAGCTGGTTAATCACCAGCAGCAATTGACCACTGTCAACCAGAAGGTGCCAAGTTCAAAGCCCAAGCCATATTGAATACCCTACTGTTAAGCCTAGCTTACTGTCCACCTAAGCAGTTTGAAAACATCTGAGCTGTGAGTAGAGAAATTAGGGACTGCTTAAAGTGGGGAGATATGTTACGACACTATAAAAATGCCAGCGATCAAAGAACAAGGAGGAAATATGATCAAAATGACTTGGTCATCGTGAATGAAGTGACAGCATCCCCTGTGGCCAGAATTGAGCATAGCCTCCAGACGCCAAAGTTGGAAATGTCAAAATACCTCTATCTGTCTGTCTGACATGTCTAAAAATGGCATTGAATGTTTTTTGTGTATGTGTGCATTGTGATCTGCCCAGAGTCCCCTTCGGGGTGAGAAGGGTGGAATATAAATACTGCAAATGAATAAATAAATAAATCAAATTGCATTATGTGGTTCTACACCAGGCATGGGCAAACTTGGGCCCTCCTGGTGTTTTGGACTTCAACTCCCACAATTCCTAACAGCCTCAGGCCTGGTTAAGCAGCTGAGGGGGGAAAGGAAAAGGCCAGAGGCTGTTAGGAATTGTGGGAGTTGAAGTCCAAAACACCTGGAGGGCCCAAGTTTGCCCATGCCTGCTCTACATTGACCATATAATGCAATCCAATGTGGTCCAAACCGCATTATACTGTATGAAGAGTGTAGAATCAGCCTTAGTGTAATCAATAAATGAAGATGCTCATGGACTGCATTCCACCTGTTTTGACCCTTAGGCTCACCTGGCTGTGAACTTCCCTGAGTCTCTCCACTTCTCCCAGGAAGATATAAATGGCTCCACGTTCTTTATCCTCCAAGGGGGCGCCTACTGCCACATCAGCCAGGCCATCACCGTTAATGTCCCCCAATGAGGAGAGTGCACTCCCAAACCTGCCAAACGCATTGCCAGGAAGCCCACGAAGGATCTGGAGGCGACTAAGGCCACCCTGAAATAAATTTCATTTATGTTAAATACATCTCTCTTATAATAACCAAATGTTAAAGCAGCTCACGCACTCAGCAGTAAAATGACACCCACTAAACTATAACTATAATAATTATAATAAGAAGTAGCACTTAGAACCTAATTTATATATTCTTCTCTCCTGCTTCCTCTTTTTTAAAAGTTCTTTAATCACAGTGTAGAAGCAAAACATCACTTTTTCACAAGCATACTATTGGTGTTGTTCAATAAATTACTACAAACAGCCCAACCCAATAGTGACAAGACTGAATGTGGAAGTAACAATGACCATCAAAACCCAGAAAAACGTAAGGAACAATATTGTAAGAACTTATGCTTCTTTAGAAACACCTAGAAGAGCCTTGGGCATGGCAGTAGATCAATGTTTCTCAACCTGGGGGTCGGGAACCCTGGAGAGGTCACCAAGGACCATCATAAAACACAATATTTTCTGTTGGTCATGGGGGTTCTGTGTGGGAAGTTTGGCCTAATTCTATAATTGGTGAGGTTCAGAATGCTCTTTGATTGTAGGTGAACTATAAATCCCAGCAACTACAACTCCCAAATGTCAAGGTCTATTTTCCCCAAACTCCACCAGTGTTCACATTTGGGCATATTGAATATTCGTGCCAAGTTTGATCCAGATCCATCATTATTTGAGTCCACAGTGCTCTGGATATAGGTGAACTACAACTCCAAACTCAAGCTCAATGCCACCAAACCCTTCCAGTATTTTCTGTTGGTCATGGGAAGTTCTGTGTGCAAGTTTGGTTCAATTCCATCATTGGTGGAGTTCAGAATGCTCTTTGTAGTTAACTATAAATCCCAGCAACTACAACTCCCAAATGACAAAATCAATTTCCCAACCCCACTAGGATTCAAATTTGAGTGTATGGGTATTTGTGCCAAATTGGTCCAGTGAATGAAAATACATCCTGCATATCATATTTACATTATGATTCATAAGTAGGAAATTACAGTTATGAAGTAGCAACAAAAATGATTTTATGGTTGGGGGGTCACACAACGTGATGAACTGTATTAAGGGGTCACAGCATTAGGAAGATTGAGAAACACTGCAGTAAAATTTCCTTCTATGCTGCTGGCAATGGGACCAAATGCTTGACTGCACTGGAGGAAAGCAAAGGTGTTTGGTGCAGGGATGGGAATCATATAGATCTCCAGATGTTGTTGAATTGCAGCTCCCAACAGCCCTAATCAACACAGCCAATGGTGACAAATACTGGGAACTACAGTTCAGCCACATCTAGCAGCTTGCATGCCTCCCATTCAGGGGTTAGAGAATTAGCTTTCATCTTATCAAAGTGTTTTACTCACCGTCTCATTAAAGGTGCAGACCTCAACAAGCCCTCCTTGTGCCCCATTGTAGTAAAAGGGAACCCCAATCAGAATGAGATCAGTTTGTCCATTCCCATTAAGGTCCACAACAGAGAGCTCAGCACCAAAGTAAGAACCAATCTGAAAAGAGACAAAAACATACAACAGTCCAATGAACAGAAATAAAAACCAAATAAATCTCTGACTACCAGCTCTGCTATAGCTGACTTCTCTGGTTGAATTTGTCTGCAGTGCCTTTCTTGTTCCTTGATTCGTGTTGGGCAATGCTGCTGCATTTGGTGGTCCCTATGTAGACTTCTCCACAGCTGCATGGTATACGGTAGACTTCTGCAGAGGTGAGAGGATCCCTCTTGTCCTTTGCTGAACGTAGCATTTCTTGGATTTTCTTAGTGGGTCTGCAGATTTTTTGTAGGGTGTGTTTCTTCATCAGCTTCCCTATACTGTTTTTATGTTCACTTTAACTTCTTTCTTCAACCTCTTTTATAGATATCTGAAGTCACAGTTTTTCACAGAAGTCTAGCTATATTATTTCTGTATAGACTTAAAGCATTTTACATCATCTATTTCTTTTAAAGCAAAACTCCTAGGCTCTTCACCCTGCAAAAAGAAACATGAGATTCATCCCAGTTTCTCCTCTTACCTGATCGCCCCCAACACTCCCCACTAACATCCTGCTTTGTTTTTCAAAGGCAAACACTTTTCCAATGTGTTCATATCGTGGTGCCCCAACTATGTAGAACATCCTTTGGCCACGATGAACCAGAGCCATGGAATAACCTGTGGGAGACCAGGAAAAAGAAAGTTATGGCTGTTGGATTTGGATCCTTGGTACCAAATGTGTGTTTGGAGGAAAAGGCTCCCTGCTGCCTCACTCACCCAGATAGGAGTACAAGGAGCTTTTATCCGACACGTTCATGAAGTTGATTTGGGGAGGGCCTGTCAAAAGCTCTTCCTCCAGACCCCCAGACCATTCATAAGTGCCAACAGTTCCAGACACCACATGCTCCTGAGAAGGAGAAGGAAAGCACAGCAAAGAGGGACAACCATATGAGGGCTGATCAACACCACTTGCATTTTGTTCCTTCCCTTATATATCAAAGCTTAGAAACCTTTGACCAAAGTTGGAAAATATTTTTTCCTATACTACAGCTGCCACAATCCCTTAACCCTCATAACCAAGGCTTATTAAAAACAAAGATGAGAGCTCTTTTGCATCTGGTGTGATACGATGCACTGTGTTTTCTGCACAGAGAAACTACTTCAATCCTATCTGTAACTGGATTGATAAGCAATGTACCCTTTCAACAAGTGACATTCATAAGTATTCATGTAATGGCACACAGGTAACTCAGCTGTTAAACTGAAGGACCATGTCTTTAAATTGCCAGGGATAAAGACATGCCACTACAGAAATATATTTGGTTAGCTGAGGATTGTTGTTTTTTTCTTTGAAGTTGTCCATCTACTCTCCCTTAAAAACCTCTTGTTTAAAACATGCACTGGAGAGACAAAAACAAGTAGTCTTCTTTAAAAATAACACCTCAGGTTTACTAACAAACTTCTTGTATATATCCAGCATTACTAGTCCATAGTCCAATGGGAAGACAAGCGGACAAATGTCAGCATCCTGGAAGAAGCAAAGACCACCAGCATTGAAGTGATGGTCCTCTGCCATCAACTCCGCTGGACCGGCCATGTTGTCCGGATGCCCGACCACCGTCTCCCAAAGCAGTTGCTCTATTCTGAACTCAAGAATGGAAAATGTAATATTGGTGGACAGGAAAAGAGATTTAAAGATGGGCTCAAAGCCAACCTTAAAAACTCTGTCACGGACACTGAGAACCGGAAAGCCCTGGCCCTTGAGCGCTCCAGCTGGAGGTCAGCTGTGACCAGCAGTGCTGTAGAATTTGAAGAGGCACGATTGGAGGGAGAAAGGGAGAAACGTGCCAAGAGGAAGGCAGCCAACCCCGACCAAGACTGTCTTCCACCTGGAAACCACTACGGAAGAAGATGCAGATCAAGAATTGGGCTCCACAGTCACCAGCAGACCCACCGACAGAACACCGACCTTGGAGGACCATCGTCCTTGAACTATGAGGGATCGCATAAGTAAGTAAGTATAGATATAGTCCTAATTGTATAACTGTACTCACTGAAGTCTGAAAGGAGACAAACTGCATCCACCTCCATTGAGGTCTAAAACCATACTAAATACAAAATTGGAGTCCTATGTCTGAAGCCCTTCCCACACCAAAGCGATACAGTCAAACTGGCAAACCAACACGTACATGCAATATAGGTAAAGGTAAAGGTAGTCCCCTGACATTAAGTCCAGTCATGTCTGACTCTGGGGTGTGGTGCTCATCTCCATTTCTAAGCCGAAGAGCCAGCGTTGTCCTTAGACACCTCCAAGGTCATGTGGCCGGCATGACTGCATGGAGCGCCGTTACCTTCCCGCCGGAGCGGTACCTATTGATCTACTCACATTTGCATGTTTTCGAACTGCTAGGTTGGCAGAAGCTAGGGCTGACAGCGGAAGCTCACGCCGCTCCCCGGAATCGAACCTGCGACCTTTCGATCAACAAGCTCAGCAGCTCAGTGCTTTAACCCACTGAGCCACCGGGGGCTCCATAGGTTAACAATTATGCACATTTACAAACAGTTAGTGGAGGCTTTGAAGGTTGCTATTTCCAACAGTGTCTCTCTACTAAGACCATCAAGAGAGAGAGAAACAGACTGAAAATCATAAATGCATTGATAAGTTTTCCTACTCACCGCAGTGAGAAGAGTGCTGAATCCGCCTTGTGAAAATTCTTTCTGGAACGAGCTGAAGGTTACATTTCCTGAGGTTCCTTTTCAGAGAAGAAAAATGCTGTTATTAAGGCTGATAAGGGAATCCTCCTTTTGGCCCACACGAGCCCTGAGATCATCAGGAGAGGCCCTTCTCTCGGTCCCACCACTGTTACAAATACAGCTGGTGGGAACGAGAGAGAGGGCCTTTTCGGTGGTGGCCCCGTGGCTCTGGAACTCCCTGCCAAAGAGGTGAGTTTGGCCCCTTTGTTACTGGTCTTTCACTCCCAGGTTAAAACCTTTCTTTGGAAGCAGGCCTTCCCTGACAACCTTTAATAAGAAGGCTATTTCAGTCTGGCAAGGCTCACACGACCAAAGACTTGGAGCTTTGAGATTTTAGTAAAAGGTTTCAAGGATAACCTCAGTTTTTGGACTTGAGTCGCTGAAAAACCACTTTGAGTTGCAGAAAGGCTGAGAAAGGCAGCATACAAATACAGTAAATAAATAATTTTAATAATAATTGTTGTTATTTATTACGCTTATATTATTTGGTATTTGTAATGTGTTTTATAATGTGTTTATTGTTTATTTGCTTGGGTTGGGGGGATGTTGCTGTGCTTTGTATGATGAAATTTCTTTGAGTCTCACCCTTGGAAGAAAAGCGGAATAATAATATTTATTTACATTTATTTATTTACAGTATTCATATTCTGCCCTTCTCACCCCGCAGGGGACTCAGGGAGGATTACAATGTACACATATATGGCAAACATTCAATGCCAAAGACACACAACAGATATAGACAGACAGTCAGAGGCTATTTAACTTTTTCTGGCCGCCAGGGGAGCTGTCACTTTCATCGTCCATCTGCAACACTGATGAAGTACTTACGCATTCCCCGCATGCTTTGCTGGAGTCTTTTTTTATGGCCTCGTAAATTGTTAAATTAGCCTCCCCACACATATGGTACCTTTTGATCAGAAATGATCTTAATGCAGCTGACACTCAGACAGCTGCGCCACAGTCCCAGTAATAATAATAATAATAATAATAATAATAATAATTGTTTCAAAACCTGAAAGAGCATGCCACAGCATAATAAATGTGCAAAATACTGGAAATTCCATAACCTATTGGAAATAAGTGTGCCATAACCTTATTGAAAAGGTAAAAATGATGTCACATCTGTTTGGCAAATGTGAATCTCTATGAACATATGGAAACCACCTAGAATCATAGAATCATAGAATCAAAGAGTTGGAAGAGACCTCATGGGCCATCCAGTCCAACCCCCTGCCAAGAAGCAGGAATATTACATTCAAATCACCCTGACAGATGGCCATCCAGCCTCTGTTTAAAAGCTTCCAAAGAAGGAGCCTCCACCACACTCCGGGGCAGAGAGTTCCACTGCTGAAGCTCTCACAGTCAGGAAGTTCTTCCTATAGTCAAGAAAAGCATGACCTTGTTAGAAGTCAACACTTTGAACAAGTTATATTTACAAGCATTAATGTAATGGCACACAGGTAACTCAGCTGTCTTTTGTCTTTTAATATATTGGAAATTTCCTAATTAAAAATTGTAATTTTTGTAACCATGATGTCCTACTATATTTCCCACGACCAGCATTATTTATGAAACCAGGATATTATGCACATCAAATTCAAGTCAGCTGGATTATCCTATTAGTAAATAATTTTTTTGAAAAAAAATCCAGAAGTAATTTGAAGACTAATAAGCAGAAAAAGTTCAGTTTCAAACCTTCAATGCCAAAAACCTTGTTTTGCAGCTCTCTTTGAAGTGTGTGAAGCGTATTGAAATTATCTGCATGGAAAACATTCTCTCTTGCGGAGGCAATTTTATACAGCTCATCTTTATTTTGGCTGAATGCCTGACCCACCTGAAACACACAACAGAGATAGCATTAATTCTACAGGGTAGGTGCACCCTAGGACAGCTTTCTCCGTGTTAGTATTCTGGATATTGGTGGTTGTAGTCCCCTGGGCAACGTCCTTGCAGACGGCCAGTTCTCTCATACCAGTTTCTCAAGTCGCTCTTGACATGACCAAAAAAAAAGTCCATGATATCTAGAAGACCTCAAGTCAGGGGGAAATGGTAGAAGGGGCCAATTAACCTTGTAAAACTGTAACTCCCAAAAGTCAAAAAAATGTTCCTCTTGATCACCTCCCAACAAAGGATTCCCCCAGGCAGTAAGAAGTCAGACCTTGAAAACTGCAAGGCCATTCAATGCTATTGTCGAAGGCTTTCATGGCGGAATCACTGGGTTGTTGTAGGTGTTTTTGGGCTATATGGCCATGTTCTAGAGGCATTCTCTCCTGACGTTTCGCCTGCATCTATGGCAAGCATCCTCAGAGGTTGTAAGGTCAGTGATTCTGGGGATGCTTGCCATAGATGCAGAGGAAACGTCAGGAGAGAATGCCTCTAGAACATGGCCATATAGCCCGAAAAAACCTACAACAACCTTAGTTTCATTCTTTCTCTTGCCAGATTCAGACCTACTTCAAATAGACAAGAGTTCTTTCTCCCACCCGGGACATTCCACAGATATATAAACCCAACTTTTCTAATTTCCAAAAGACCTCACAACATTTGAAGATGCCTGCCATAGATGCAGGCGAAACATCAGGAGAGAATGCTTCAGGAACATGGCCATACAGCCCGGAAAACTCACAACAATCCACTGTTCCTCTTGACTCATGAAAAAGTTTTGCATTTATGATGAGGTTAAGGCAGGCATAGGTAAATTTCGGTGTTTTGGACTACAACTTCCACAATTCCTACGGGTGTTATGAATTGTGGGAGTTGTAGACTAATACACCTGGAGGACCAAAGTTTGCCCATGCCTGGACTAAGGAACAATCTTTGATTAAAGACAAATCTAGACCATAATTTTCTCTATTGACTTGTGGGTTTCTCACTTTATAGAGAGTTTTTGGTAGTTCCACTATTGCAGTGTCTATCCCGGGCAGGGGCAAACTTTGGCCATCTATTTATGTGTTTTGGACTTCAACAGCCAATAGGCTGTTAGGAGTTGTGGGAGTTGAAATCCAAAACACCCAGAGGGCTGAAGTTTGCCCATGCCTGCTTTATCTTCTACACCTGGAATACCAACTTTGGAGAAAAGAAGTATAAATGAAAAAATGCAGATAAAATCCTACAAAACCCCATGCCAGCCCGTCAGCCATACCCCAATGGCATAACGGGTGATATTTTTTCTATCAGCGGCCGCATTTGCTGTTTCAAATGTAGTTTTTCTGTCATTGGATTTGCCATCTGTCAGGACGATGAGGATTTTCTTGCTGTCAGGTCGCATGCCACGTTGAGGGGTGAAGACCTCTTCCCTGCAAAAATGTCACCAAACAATTGGCTCAGGCCTAAGGGGTCAGGGAAGGAAAGGGGATCCCAGGCCCCATTGACACTGCCGTATATTCCAGTTTCTTAATCCAGATTATCTGCTTTGAACTGAGTTAAATTTGTTTATGTATTTATGTATTTATTTATAGTATTTATATTCCACTCTTATCACCCCGTAGGGGATTCAGGGTGGATTATAATGCACATATACATGGCAAACATTCAGTGCCATTTACACATACAACATATATAGACAGACACAGCTTTCCGGCATCATGAGGGTATGCTCGATTCTGGCACAAGGAGCTTCTGCTTCACTTTCCACGTGTGACACAGAGTTCTTGCTGGAGTACTTCTTCATTCTTACGCAAACTGCTGGAAGGTTTTATGGTGTCGTAAATTTGTTAAATTAGCCTCCTAAATTTCCTACTTGACAGATGCAACTGGCTTTTGGGCTGCATAGGTCAACAGCAAGCTAGACTATTAATGGTCAGGAGCTTACTCTGACCCAGACTGACTTCAAACTCATGACCTCTCGGTCAGTAGTGATTTAATGCAGCTGGCTACTAACTAGCTGCATATATAGAACACAGATATCTATTACTAAGATACACAAAGTATTATGTTATTGTTGTTGAAACTTCAAATATGATGTCATATGACAGGTTTATTACTTATAAACACAATATAGAGGAACAACTTCTCTTAGTCATGGATAAATGTCCATATTCATTTAGATAAACATAATAGTCCAATCTGTCTGATGATTTAAAGAGTCACTTGTAGATGTTTTCGAAGGACTATTTGTGGCATCTAAGGTTGTGTCAGAGAAGAGTGACCAGGTGACAACAAGGTATCCCGGGTGTAGTTCCTTGTTTCGGTGTTGGTGATGAAAACACCTTCTTCGGGTAATGAATTCTTCTTAATATTTCAACAGGAGACAAGTCTCTGATAATTTCATTCAGTAAACACAGGCTCTGCTGCAGGTGATTATGCTGTGAGCCAACTGTCTTTCGGGCTGCAAAGGTCGACAGCAAGCTAAACAAATGGTCAGGAGCTTACTCCAACCCGGGCTGGCTTTGAACTCATGATCTTTCGGTCAGTAGTGATTTTTTTTAATGCAGCTGACTCCCAACCGGTTGTGCACAGCCCAGTGTAGACTCATATAATCCAGTTCAAAGCAGATAATCTGGATCCAGAAACTGGATTATATGGCAGTGTAGATCCAGCCCCAGATCCCTGTCCCCATTACTCTGGTACTACTCACGCTACAAAGCGGATGGCCGAGGGGGTGAAGGTTTGTCCTTTGTAACGTTTGAAATTACGGATAGTATCGTTGACCTGGTCTCTACTTTCATTATACGTAGCAAAATCAAAAATAAGGAGGGGTTCTGTAGAGTACTGGACCACAGCAAACTGGATGGAGAAAGAAAAGAGAAAAGAATGACACAATCATCAATTACATATCTATCTTATGCAATAATGTGAGAAATACAGATCACAGTGACATGATCAGTATCAATTATTTATTTATCTATTAAGGGAAATTGTCATGCTCCATCTAGCCTAAAGTTTGAAAAACTATCTGATGTAAAGGACAGCAATTTGAAATCCCGGAAAGTAGGACTATTTTGGATTCCTAACAGCCTCAGCATAAGCAGCTGAGGGAGGAAAGGAAAGGGTCTGAAGCTTTTAGGAATTGTGGGAATTGGAGGGCCAAAGTTTGCCCATGCCTAATGTAGATGCTCCCTAAGAAAAGCCTATAAGATTCATAGGATGGCCATAAGTTGAAAGGTGACAAAGGTCACACATGCATGCTCGTGCACACACAGCAATTATCAGGTCTATTTTGGGTTGAAAATAGTGTGTCCACAAGCACCACCCACAAGCCCATTACTGTCACCATCGCCCTGCTGTATTCCCACAATACTTTGACATTGCTCCAACCTGTACATCCTTTTCCCGTACAGAATACATTAGATTCAGGAGGAAGTTTTGCATCTTGAGGAAGTCATGATTATCATCACGGATGCTTTCGGAGTCATCGTATAAGATCACAGCATCCACACCGGTAAAACACTCTGTGAAGACAAGAGGCAAGGCTGTGTTATAAAATGGCAGGCACAGCAGTTTATCCGGGTGTTTTGGACTCCAACTCCCACAATTCCTAACAGCCTACCGGCTGTTAGGAATTGTGAGAATTGAAGTCCAAAACACCTGGTGGGCCAAAGTTTGCCCATGCCTGCACTACACCATGCTACTTCTCACTTAGGCCCCTTCGACAACGCCCTAAAACCCACGATCTGATCACAGGTTATGTGCTTTGAATTGGATTATATGAGTCTCCACTGTCAGATAATCTGGGATAAGAAGAGAAACTGGAATCAGATCCTGGGGTATAGGGCAATGTAGAAGGGGGCTTAAGCTTTTATGCTTAGCTCCATATCACAATATGCTAGAAGAAAAACTGATTCTGACCTTGAGCAGCAGGATGAATTTCTTTCAACTCCTGATCAGCGTTGCCTATGATATAGCAGATGCCATTCAAAGAATTGATATCCCCACATTTTCTCTCCCAAGTTGGACCACAAGCCTGTAGAAAAAGTGGGATTAATAGCCAAGGATTTTCAGGCATCCATCAGACATTATGGGTCAGTTTCTCCCAGAATCCCTGTGCCAATGGCCACGTTGCAGGGATTCTAGGCATTTCGATCAAAATAATTTATTTATTTATTTATGTTGCATATTTATATCCCGTCCTTCTCACCCTCAGAGGAGGACTCTGGGCGGCTTCACAACAGGCATTCATTCAATGCCTACCACAGTAATAAATAATAATAGCAATTAAAACAATTCTTCAAGGCATTAAATTTCTAAAACATTTGTTTAAAATCACGCAGGCTTAAAATCATAGTCCGGGTCAGTCCATTGTCATTCACACAAGTTGGGCCTTATTCTGGACTGCTGCCTCTACTGTTCAAACGCTTGGTCCCAGTTCCTTCTAAAGGACAGGAGGGAGGGGGGCAATCTGATGTCACTGGAGAATGAGTTCCACAGGTGAGGGGCCACCACTGAGAAGGCCCTGTCTCTCGTCCACACCAGTTGCTTTTGTGAGGATGGTGGAAACGAAAGCACAGCATCCCTCACCAATCTTAAACTTCATGATGGTTTATAGCGGGAGATATGTTCAGACAGGAAGGCTGGGCCGGAACTGGTCAGGGCTTTATAGGCTGAAGCCAGCACTTTGAATTGTGCTCAGTAGCAGATTGGCAGCCAGTGGAGTTGGCATAGTAGAGGGGTTGTATGCTCTGTGTATGCTGCTCTGTTGGACTAGTTGGAGCTTCCAAACAGTCTTCAAAAGTGACCCCACATAGAGTGCATTACAGTAATCTATTCAGGATGTAATGAGAGCGTGGACCACCGTGGCCAAGTATGACTTCCCAAGGTGCGGGTGCAACTGGCGCACAAGTTTTAATTGTGCAAAAGCCCCCCCTAGCCACCTCCTCAATCTGAGGTTCCGGATTCAGCAATGAGTTCAGGACTCCCAAGCTGTGAACCTGCACCTTCAAGGGAAGTATAACCCCATCCAGAATAGGCTGTAACCCTATACCCTGTTTGGTCTTGTGACTGACCAGGAGGACCTCTGTCTTGTCTAGATTCAATTTCAATTTGCTCCCCCTCGTCAAGACTATCACAGCGGCCAGGCACCGGTTCAGGACCTGAACAGAACTCCAGATTATCTCTTCCAGCGGCTTCCAGTAACTTTATGACCAGCACTGACCAGCAGGTCCACTTCCATGGTCTCAGCCTGCTCATCCTATTCCTGGAAGATTGGTTTCAAAAATATTTTTCTCTTTCCTGAGAAATGAACTCAGCTTCTTTGTAAATATAGGTAGACCCCTGGGTTTGTGTCATTTTACTATTTGACTCTATACTTACTATTACTTTAGAATGGGTCTCCTCATCTGCTGCCAGCGAGAGGCCCAGAGATATCCCAGAATGGTCTTTGGCATGAGAAAGGATAAGCAAATAAATATAACAGAGAAAAATCATGTTTGGAATGCATTTTCCAACCTGATAACCTTAAAATAATAAGACTACAACTTCCATCATACCTTTTGGAAAATGGAAATCTCCATAACTTTTTGGAGATTTTATGATCTTTGGAAAGACATGATCTTGCTAGAAGTCATAACCTTTTGAAAAAATATGCCATAACCTTTTGGAAAAATGGCATCCATGCAAGGCCATTAGGTTTCTCAGCTGTTAAACTGATGTACCTAGGTATGTCTTTGAATTGTTAGGGACAAAGATATGCTAATGCACAAAAAGCACATACATACAGCAGAGTTTCAGACGTGTTCTTTATAGTTGCTCAAATACATCTACTCTCCCTTAAAATATATTTGCCTTTAAATCATGCTTTCAAGAAACGAAATAATCAGTCTTCTTTAAAAGTAACAGGGTTGGTTTACTCACAAATTTCATGTATTCAGCATACAGGTACTTTGCTTATCAATCCAGTTACAAATATAATTTGAAATAGTTTCTCTGTGTAGATAACACCGAGCATCTTTCTCATAATCTTAATAGTCCATAGTATAAAGCACCTCTCTGTTCTGAGAGTCTAATAGAGTCTGTCTAGTCTGAAAGTCCAATGTAGTCTGATGTCTAAAAAATGGAGTCTGATCCCTGAACAAGCCCAGATCTGATCACATGGTCTGCAGCCCCACCCACAACATAGACTTAGAGAAAAACTGCAAACCAATACATATACAATACAGTAAGCAATTATATACATAACAAATAACTAGTGGAGGCTTGAAGAAGGTTGCTATTTCCAGCAATACCACAGTAGGTCTAAGACTATTCATCAATACTGAAGACTTAATGTAGCTTAATACTTATGAATCTGTTTCCCTTGGAGAATATTGAAATATTTCGTTTACTGCTAATTTAACATTCTCTCCAATCCAAAGTTTCAGGGTTGGGAGATCATGGAAGCTTTGAGAGTTCAATGGGTACAATTTCAATACTTGGAAAAGTTACTTTTGGGGCTATCGGAATTCTCCAGGAGCATGGAGTCCAAAATGCATCATAAAGCTATATACCCTTGTAATACCTGCTTTTCCATGAAATAAAGTGATGAAATAGGCTACATACGGTTGAGATCTATTCGTTGGCACCTCTCTGTGTGATACAAGCAGCGGAAGAGGGATCCCGTACGGTTCTCTGAAAAGGGGGCACTGACTAGCAACCTGCAGGAAGAAGTAAATTTCAAACTTAATATTTTACAGGTGAGCTGAAGAAAATGGAAGAAACCACAATCAGAGTTTCTCACCAGGATGCTCCACTAGAACTCACTGGAACAACACGATAGCCAAACTGGTTCACTTTGTCACCTGGGAATATCACTGGGGCATCTGTGTCAATAATGTTGAAATACTGTGCTCTGGAAAATGGTAGAAAACCTGGAATGGAAAACAGTGGGAATCATTGTGGTGTCACTCTCTCAGCCTCAGAGGAAGCCAATGACAAACATCTTCTGAACATGTTGCCAAGAAAATCCTGTGCTAGATTTGCATTAAGGTCGGCATACGTTGGAAACAACTTGAAAGCATGCAACAACACCAACAGAAAGGGAAAGGAATTAATTAAAGTAACAGTTGCCTTCACTGATTTGCTTTGGGTGAGATTAATGAGAGTGTAATTAATAATAAGGCAGCAGGAGACGATGGGATCCCAGCTGAACTGGGAAAAATCAACTTATATTCCAATACCAAAAAAGGGGAAATGCCAAAGAATGCTCAAACTTTCTTACAGTGGCACTTATTTCACATGCCAGTAAGGTAATGCTCAAGATCCTGCAAGGAAGACTCCAGCAATACATTGAAAGAGAGTTGCCAGATGTACAAATTGGGTTTAGAAAAGGCAAAGGAACGAGAATGAGTTCAAAGCAGATAATCTGGATTTTATATGGCAGTGCAGACGGGGCCTCAGCCAACTCAGCACCATCTAAATGTTCAGTCTTGCGTTTGCAAACTAAGAAAAACACTTGGTTTTGCTTTTCAACTATTTCTTCCTTTCTTACATTGTTCTGGTACATCTAACCCATTGAGTAAAGAAGGCATACTTGTGTAATGCTTGGTAGAGTTGAAGGCAGTAGGAAAAGAAGGAAACTGTGCTACAAGTAATAATTTTAATGTTCCGCTTTTGACAAATATGACTTTGTTAGACATTGTCTAAGACTAGCAATAACTACGATGATGATGATGATGATGATGATGATTTGCCAGAAGTTCTTAATTTCAACAATGTTGCTGCTATCTATCAATGTGAAGTCTGGGACCGTATCCTCCATGGAGTTGTACTGTACTTGCTTTATAATATTGTCATGCTATGAAAAAATAATATACAAACACATAGTATGCTTCAAACACTTAACGTTGTTACGTAACTTCTTTTTTTTAATTAATTTTTTATTGCTTCAAAGAACTAAAAAAAAGAAAATGTATATAAAAATATATAGATACAGTGAAAGTGAGGGAACAATTATCCATACTAAAGTAGGAAAAATTATAGATAGAAGAGACAGACCAATCCAGGAAAAGAAAAGAGGGGAAAAAGTAGTAAAATGAAAAATGAAAAAATACAAATACAAATAAAAAACCGAGGTGACTTCCAATCTTCTTCCTTTCTTTGAATCTTCCATTCCGAACACTACAAGATTCTTGTTAAGAGTCTTTCCCACCAAAATTAAGTCCCAAATAACGGAGAGCTGGTCCAGTCAATTTTCTGAAGTTGTTACGTAACTTCTAAGTAATTTTATGACTCACTGGATATGGATTGCTACATAGATAGAGTGACAAGGGTGAAAACTGAAGACCACTTTTGCACCATCAATGGTCATACAGACGAGAGAATTTAAGCAGAGTTGTTGTAGGTTTTTCGGGCTGTATGGCCATGTTCTAGAAGCATTCTCTCCTGACATTTGTTACAGAAGGGCAAACCACTGACCACCTGCTGCAATGCAACCTGAGCCCTGCCACATGCACAATGGAGGACCTTCTTGCAGCAACACCAGAAGCACTCCAAGTGGCCAGATACTGGTCAAAGGACATTTAACCATCTACCAAACTCACAAGTTGTGTATTTTTCTGTCTGTTTGCTTTCTGTTAGAAATGTAATACAATGTTCTGGTTGCAGATGACACGATAAATAAATATCCTCAGAGGATGCCTGCCACAGATGCAAGCAAAATGTTAGGAGAGAATGCTTCTAGAACATAGCCATACAGCCTGAAAAACCTGCAAAAACCCAGTGATTCCAGCCATGAAAGCTTTCGAGAATACAATTTAAGCAGATGTTGCTTGTTTGTTACCTGGTGGCTCGCCATGCAACTCTTGCTGATATTCCCTTTTGTGCGCAACCATTCATGCAGTTTCCACTCTGGTGAAAGCCATATACAGAAGGAAGCAGGGGAAATTTCTATTTAGCCGGTGAGCATTAGATTCCATTGCATCTTTTTTCCTCACCTTTCCACACTTGCTTTGTCTGGAACATGGGGCAGAGGGGAACTAGACATCAATTACCTGGTTTTTCCATTAAGAGATGTGGTCACATAGGTCATTGGTCACCTTTTCCTCTTCATGATACTTATTATCTTCTCCAGTTTTCACAAAAATTGTTGAGTTAAATCTCTTTAACTGCCATGGCCCAATGCTCTGAAATCATGGGATTTGTAGATTGATGAGACTCCAGCACTCTTTAGCAGAGATGGCTAAAGACAAGTAAATTACAACTCCCATGATTCCATAGCATTGACCCATGGATTCCATAGCACTGACCCATGGATTCCATAGCATTGACCTGTGGTGTCAAACTGCATTAATTCTGCAGTCTAGATGCACCCTGAAGCAAGCCGCTTAGGCAGCAGATGCTGAGGGAGGGATGATTCAGAAGGATGGCAGTGATGATAGATACTACCAGTCCTTTAGACCAAATTCAGCCTCTTACTTTATCTGTACCTTGTTTTATTTGCATTATAATCCCAAGGAA